GCACTCGGTTTCGGGGCGCGGCTCGGTCGTTTCGGTGAGGGTGGGCGGTCGGCCACCTCGATCACTGCCTCGGGTTGCGCCGCCGCCGCCATCTCGCGATCCCTTGGCAGGGCGGCTCAACTTCCGAAAAAGCCGATTTTCTGTTGGATTGAGCAGACAAATACCGCCTTCTACTTTCGACGCTGGTCTTTCTTTCGGGTGCGAATCTTCCCAGCTCTACGAGTTGATCTCCCCGGCTGACAAGGACTCTGTTGGCCAAGGCAGGCAAGGCCCTAGATGCTAAGAACGCTGAGATTGCATCTTTAAAAGCCCAGGTTGACCACTTGACGAAGGAATTGGAGGCTTACGAGCCACAGGGCCGTAAGAAGGTAAAAGAGAATGCCAATGATAAATTTGCGAGGATCGAGGATATCATCCAGGCAAAGGAGGATTCGATGAAGTCCCCGATGAAGAAAAGGAGGAAGACGCGACAGAACAGCCACGCAGTCGAGGAGGCCGAGGAGATAATTGTGTGTAGTTTAGAGACTATTCGCCGGGCCGAAGAGGAGTAGAACCATCAGATTTGTGTGTAGATTGCTTGCAAATTGGATGAGCTAGATGTCTTTTATTATGGTGGTGATGGTGGTGCCAAAATTCCATTGTGGGGTCGATTCCGCTGTTGGGTCCACACGTCTAGAATCCCTCTGCTTTCTTTTGGTGTCGTCTCCTTCATACCGTCGTTTTGCAGTACTTTTCTTTACCTACCTGATTTATATCTCTGGAGAAAAGAATGCGCTCGTCGTTCTCCATCGCAGCAATTCTCGGGCTCCTCGCCCAGGGTTCAGTACGAATCCATCACTCAGCAAAACTTGAAACCTTCTCGAGTCTACCACTAACTCCAGCTCCTCCCGTCTCCTAGATGGCAGCCACTTGCCGCTCCAACAATGCCACGCCCATCGAGCAATTCATTGACTCCGGCGGCGGCGGGGATGTCATTACAGCGTCCTTCGTCGACATCCTGACACTCATCAAGGTACAACAATCATCTTTGTTTATGAACTGGTTATACCCTTTTCAGCTCTTCGGGAGCAGGATAGCTGCCGACTGCGCATTTGCTCCTAAACCCCTCCAGACTCGTCCAGAATAGGAACGTCAGAGCTGACATTGTTGGTCTAGCGCTCGCCCATGCCCACGCCCGGCGCCCGCCTCAACAACGTTGCCTATGTGCTGGACCAGCGAAGCGACACGGTGGAGTGCACAGGTGCGGAGATGTGCCTGTCGATCCAGACAGTGCCGTTCTGTATGGACCTGCTGACGTATTCGTTCCACACCGGTGATGGAACCACCGGTAATGCCATGACAGGGGAGTATACCTTGCCAGACGGGAGTAAGGGAAATATGTACACAGGCGCCGGGGCTGCAGCGAACTCGGTGCAGGCGAATGCCATGACGAATTCGGGGGCAGCTACAGAGGCAACTGTCAGGGCCCCCACCATGAGCCCTACACTTGGGCAATTGGCGGGCGAGACACTGTGGATTTCATGGCGCAGCGACATGACTCGCAGCAGAGAGAGGATATCTGGAGAGCAGGAGACTCAGATTGGAACTTGGAACTTCCCTCTCTCAAGGATCAGTCAGTTGGTTAGTGGTGCACGCACAATACAGTCGTCTTGCCTGCTGCTTGTTGAGGATTCGGTGCATCTTCCTTGGTGAGCTTGTGTGTGTCACCTTACAGAAAGGAGGAAGAAAAGAAGTAAGTAAGAAAAATTAAAAGGAAGTGGAAGGAGAGGAGAAAAGAATCAAGAAAGAACAAACAAGGTAAAGAATATCAGAAAGAGAATAACGAAGAAGTAAAAAAGAGAGCTTAGAACTCTGTCGGATCGAGTCGATGGACTGGGTCCTTGACCTCCGAGCCGCCATTGCCCCATACCGGTATCATGCACACGACAGAAGCAGACGGCTGCATGTCTCGGGCTGGGACGAATATATCATCGCCTGCTATATCAACCTGTTACAGGACAGTGTCCTGTTCGTCTCCGGCACACCGAAGACCACGGACTGGATCGACGAGTTAAGCGTTCAAATGTGCCTCTCCCAAATGATCAAATTGTATCACAACTCCGGATAGGCCGCGGTGCCACAATGTGTGACCGCTAAAACTGTAACTGGAAATCCGTTGGGCAGCCTGCAGCTTGGCATCGGTATACAAGAGAGCCAAAAGAAAATGGTCCGACTAGCTGTTACTTCTCCACAAGACGCATGACATCACTTGGCATTAAGAGGGGCTCGATGGGGAGGAGGTTTATATCGACCCCGCAAGAACTCGTCGGCTTCCCTCCAAACTTGGGCAGCGCACCTCCTTAAAAGCGGTAACAACAACCCAAAAGGTAGTTACTCGGCTTCTTGAAAACATATCAATCGCCTCCAACCTCAGAGCACCTATATGCCCTGTGAGGATGTCGTCCATTGTTGAGACGTTAACCGCCTCGGGCGGCCCCGAGTCTCCTGGTAAGTCATCACTGGAACTGGACGGGCTGTTTATTGACCACGAGCAGGCTTTCTCAACGATCTTGTGACGCAGCTATGGCCAAACATCCGTGTTGCTGGCGCCCAAATGATCAGGGACATCGCACAACCCATGTTCGCCACAACGATGCCTGCTCCTCTGAACACGCTCGTGTTTGAGAAGATTGACCTCGGCGAAGTACCCATCCACTTCTCAAAGGTCGATGTGCACAAGACGGAGAGTGCAGGCATCAAGCTCGACCTTGACCTTGACTGGGATGGCAAGTGCGATATTGAGCTCAACGCGAGCATGATGCCCAAAATCGTTGGTTTTCCCCGTCCGACCCGGTGACTAAAATCTGCTAAGCAATGCCATTAGGGAGTCGAGCATGTCAAGGTCCGCGGGAGATTGTCGGTTCTTCTGTGTCCCTTGATCAACGTCATGCCACTGGTGCGTAATTATAATCCTTCTCTCATCCAACCCCAGACATGGATCCCACTGAACCCATCAGATCGGAGCGGCCCAAGTGGCCTTCATCAACCCGCCCTACCTCAAACTCGAGTTCACCGACGCAGCCCACGTGGCCAACATCGACGTCATCGAGAAAGCAATCCGCAAAATCATCCTCAGCATCATCTCCTCCATGGCCGTACTCCCCAACCGCTTCTTGCTCAAGCTCGACGCGAGCAACGACTTCTTCAAAACCTACCAACACCCGCTCGGCGTGCTCCGCCTGACCGTCGAGTCCGGCAGCAAGCTCGGCGGCAAGGGCGGAGAAGGCGGCGGCGGCTTCCTCAAGCGGCTGGTCCGCGACGTGCCCGACTGCTACGTCAAAGTGAACCTGTCGGCCGAGGCCGAGTGGCGCACAGCCACGGCCAAAAACTCGCGGCACCCGGAGTGGAACGAGACGGCCGACTTTGTGGTCAGCGACTTTGACCAGAACATCGAGGTCGACGTCCAGGACGAGGACACGGCGCGCGCCGACGACGACATTGGCCTCGGCACAACCACGGTCAAGCAGCTGCTGCTGGAGGGTGGGCGGCAGGAGCTGCGGCTGGCTCACAAGGAGCAGCCGACGGATGGGCGCCTGACGTTGCGAGGGCAGTTCTTCAAGTTTGTCCCGGACGCGAAGAGCTTCTCGGGCGGCGAGGGGCCGTCGGGTGAGATTGTTGGCCTGATGACCGTCCTGGTGGCTTCGGCACTTGGAGTCAGGGGTGACCGGCACGCGTTAAAGCCGAATGTGAAGGTCACCTGGGGAGAGCACGCGTTCCGGACGGCCATCAAGTCGGATGCGCCCGGAGCTGACGTCGAGAATCCTTCGTTTGATCAGGTGTTCAAGGTTTCGTTGAAGGCAGGCATGGTCCCGGGCCCGCCGGTGAGGATCGCTTTGCTGGATGGGGAGGTAGAAAACGGGTCGGTGGAGGTGGCTCTGGAGGATGTGCTTTCCAGTGAGAATCTGGCGTTGCAAAAGTCCTTTGATGTGGGCGGCGGAGCGACGGTGCGGGCTGCGGTCTGGCTGAGGGGAACCACTCCGGCGAACTGAATGGCAATGTTGAGTTGACTGCATTAATTGGGCTCGTGGGCAGAGTCGGGAGCAAAGAGCAAAATTGGAGCGATATTGAAAACAATGGGATTATGTTGAAATGCCTGATCTCATCTGAATTCTGTGTACTCGTGCAAGCTGAACGTACCGAGCAGTCTATGAACCTAGCTCCGTTAAGGTATCATCAGTATAAACCAATATTCTTACCACCCAACGCCCTTGAACGACAAACCCACCAGGCCGGGTAGACCCTCAGATTACCTAAGTCCCAACTCCTCCAGCGTAGCAAGGATATGTTTCAACGTGACCGGCCGCGTGAGAAACCTGTCGACGCCGCTGGCGAACGCGTCCTGCTCGACATCGGTCCCGCTGAGACCAGTAATAGCAATGATCTTGCACGGAGGCAGTTGGCCTGCGCGCTCAAACTCTCTGACTCGCCGTGACGACTCGATGCCGTCCATTATGGGCATCGACACATCGGTGAGAAGACAGCTGTATTGAGAGGGCGACGCCTTGTACATCTCCAGCGCCTCGAGCCCGTTCTTGGCCATTCCATGTGGAAGGCCCAGTTGCTTCACGTATGCCGCCAATATCTGGTGGAGCGGTTAGTTTCACAGCACCAGACTTCAATCGAGGATATGGGACAATGTACTTTGAGGTTGATGGGGTTATCATCGACGATCAGGACTGATTGACGGACTGTCTTCGCGGGGGCTTCCGAGACGGGAGCAGATGCCGAAGGAGGGTATGCGAGTTTCTCGGGTAACACCCGGCTGTCACCATTTTGCCAGCGCAATTCTTCTTGCCTTGCCGTGCATCGTGCATCGTCTCGCGGCGGTACTGATACTAGCGGCAGTGTCGAGCTCCTTGGGGCTAAGATCCCGGCATCTTTCAGAACGGCCGTGACGGCTTCCGCCTGCGACGGTGTGCTGCATAGAAGCGGGCCTTCGGTCTCCCTCGACGGTGAAGTTGTGCTGCCAGGCGGCGTCGGCAGCTGACCTTGCTGTGCTTCTTCCCATCTCCGGCGACTATCGAGAAGAGCCCTGGCCAGTTTGCGTGGCCCCAGCGGCTGTGACGTGAGCTCGACAAAGGCTGGTATGCGACTCGGACGCTGTGCATTCATGGATTGCACAACCCTGGGAGTCCGGCATATGAAAACGTGTGGGCAAGTGAGCAGGCCTAAGGCACCACCGGCCTGCTCGAGACCGGTCCAAAACTCGCGAGTCTGAATGACGAAGTCCGGGGAGTTGCTGTGTGCCTGGGCCTCTGACAAAACCTGCATATTTAGCCAGCCGTTGCAGATGGTCTGCAGGAGCTCGAGTTGCGGTTTGGATATATCCGGCACCCTGTGCCCATTTGTGTCAAGTCCCCGGGACTTGTTCTCAGGGCAGTTATCCCCACACCCCCGGAGCAGGACACGCGACCCGGCCAGCTCTTGTGTCAAGGCCCTGAAGCTGTCATTTTCTTCGTCTGCCGTCCGTTCGCCGAACGGTAACGGCAGGAAGACTTTGACCGAGGTTCCGACTCCGACCTGGCTTGTAACGTGGATCTCGCCCCCTAGCGCGGTAACAACCTGTCGGATGAGGCTGAGCCCCAGTCCTGTGCCTGGCGCAAAGTGGTCCTCTTGTGCAAAGGGCGTGTAGAGCTGGTTGCGCAAGTATTCCTCGCTGATTCCCTTACCAGTATCGGTAACGGTCAACACGATCTTGCCAATTTCCTGCTGAGTGCCGGGCTTGTCCACCTGCAGCCTCTCCTGCCTCAGTTCAACTTTGATAAAGCCCTGCTTGGTGAATTTGAGAGAGTTCCCAAACAAATTCATGATGATCCGCCGGAATGCACCAGGGTGTATGCAAAACAACCAGGAATCGGCCGGCTCAATATCGAACAGGATCTGGACCGGGATAGGAGGTTCAGCGCCAGTTTGGCCGGCCGTGTGTTCTGCCGGAGCTACGCTTCGGTGGCTCGCGAGACTGCGGTGGTACCCCCACATCACGTCCTGAGTCTCAGTGGCGAGCATGGAGCCGAAGCCCACGAGAACGCTCTCCACAACCTCCTCGGCTAGCCGGTCGAGTTGAACGGGTACCACCCCTCGCAACGGTTCGGAAACGGTCGCCACTTGATCCTGCCGAGATTGTCGAAGTCGAAGACGGCCGGAGTTGCTCCTCTCCAACCCAGCGGTTTTGAGAAACGGATTCATCTTGCCGTAGTCGAGGAGCTGAGTGCAAGGATGGTCAGCAGATGTACACGCCAGGTAAGGGTATACCGCCAGACTTACATGATCAATGGTGTCGAGTAAAGTCGTGCTCGATATCTGGATTGTGCGAAGGAAGCCCTCCTGGGAGCCGTCTAGATCGGTCTGCCGCAAAAGCTCAGCAGCACCAACCACGGCGTGCAACGGTGACCTCAACTCATGGCTTATAGCGCCTAAGACATCCATCTTGGTCTTGTCGGCCGCCTTGATGTGCAGCCTCGTGACCTCGGACATAATGGTCAGGCCAAACGCTTTCAGGTAGCTGAGCTCGTTCTCGGGTGTGAAGATACGTGTGGGCGTGCAAGTCCAGACGAGGCTGCCGGCAAACCAACGACTCTTCTGCGCATCATAGAGCGGCACAAACACCACACTCCTGGCTCCGGGAAACATCCTTGAAAGGACGCTCCTGATGGCCTGTTTGGTTTTAGGTGGACTCTTCTCCCTAGAGCCGTTCGATTTCCCGTTGGTGGTAGCTTGGATCGGGCGGGAAGAGATCGTTTCCGTCTCAGTGTCCCGCCGCCTCCTCATCGAACAGATCGACGAATCCGGATGCATGCCACCAGGTAGTGGGCGAGCGGGATCTGCTTCCATGTTATAGATCTTGCCGTGCGGGTAGCGTTGCAGAAGGTGATGGAGCAGCTTCTCCGGAAACTGCGTCAGAGGCGGACTTGCCTTGTCTCCATTGACGGACGATGTCTGGGATGTTGAGAAACCAAGAACTTCGCAATAAGTAGTGGCCTCCTCGGCTGCATCAGGAGTCCGGGAGGCCGGAACCTCCGAATCGTCACCGCTTGATTCCAATTCGAAGGGAGGTTTCCCGAGTACAGGGGGCGATGGCATCTCCTGGCCGACCAAGCCCCCGAAGGTCCTGATACTCGCATCTAGATAAGCCACCCCCGCCACTTCGATGGACTCTCGGACTATATTGGATGCTTTCGAGAAGAGGCCTTCGATAGCAGCTTCCAACATGTCCAAAGGCGATGCCCGGTGATTCCGCCCGAGAGGGGCCTCGGTCTTCCCAACGATGCTGCGTGTCCGGGTAGGGGCCGAGAATGTGTCGTCGGTTGGTGATTTGCCCGCTTCGATCGGTGGTAGCTTCCCGTTGTCAGAGCCGGCCCGCAGATGTTTGTTCAATGACCCCTCCCGGACCCCCGGGATATCCCTGAATGAGGGATTCGAGGAATGCGACCAATTCGACAGCATGGCCTTCCCTTCGACAAAGCTCCCGAGCCCGCGAACCATACGCTCCTCTCTCCGATAGCACTCGTGTGATCTTTTGGTCTCTAGGTAGCTCATGATGGTGACAGACATGTCCCGTATGAATTGTACCTCTTCCGAGGAGACATCTTGGCGTGGTTTGTCGTCGAAGATGCAGTACACCCCGATGTTGATGCCGGCTGGTGACCGGATAGGCACGCCGACATAAAAACGCTTTGAGGGATCTTGTACGTCGTTAAACCTGGCGTCTTGATCGAGGCTTAGTAGCACCGAGACCGGCAGATCACTTGGAGTGTCCCCCGTGTCGCTGCCCGGGATCGTGAGGGAGGAGGCGGGTCCTGCAAGGACATGTTCGCAAATGCTGGTTGCTCGGGGCACAGCGGTCCCGCAAAGCCAAAGTTGATCCCGATGGTCTTCATTCAGGTTTAGCGGTGTTGCACGGACAGCTTCGGCAACGATGTGCTGGTTGCGTCGGTCAAAGAGCGAGACCAGGGCACGTGAGCCCCCAAGTCGGTACAAGCCGAGCTGGGCAAAGGCAGTGAGGCCCGGGTCCGGAGTGGACGACAGGACAGCGGACGGAATGGGCTTTGCGACTTCGGGATTGCGAAGCGAAGCAGTAGAAATCTCCAGCGCATCGTATCTGTGTACCAGGCGTTAGCGTTGGCGCTCGACATTAGGATAGATCACCTGCATCCAGGGAGGCATGTGGCCACATCATACGTGATGCTGAAACGAACAGAACGCTAGGCCAAGGGAGGCTACGCCGAACCAGAGACTGCAAGAAAATGCCAACTGACTTGAACGTCTCGCGCTCACGAGCTGCCTCCCACGATGATACTGAGTCCGAGTCCGAATCGTGCGCTGCTGTGGTCATCGTAGAGGGCGCTGAGGGCGTCGAGGGCGGCGAGGACGATGTGGCCCGGGGTTCGAATGATGATCTGCTCGAGTGCAACGGATCCACACGCTCACCAGGCACAGAAACGGGGGTACTTGGCCAGCCTGAACGGGCCGTGTCGTCGCAAGCTGACAGGACATATACACAGCAACGTAGAGAAACTCTGCAGAGTCGTGTCAAGCCGCGGTCAAGGAGTGTTTCAACCCACTGTCAAGAATGACGTGCGGCAACAGTTTCGACCCACGCCACAGCCGGCGAAAATGGCAAAATGGGAGGCAAGTTTGTGGTGAAGGCTGCAAGAAACCATCCACCGCCCGCTCTGAGCCTCTGACGTCGGGGACTCTTTCGGTCCACAGCCCTGTGCCTAGAACAGCACGGGGTGCGGATCGATCCACACTGATCCGTCATCTCCGGGCCTTTCACGGGAATCGCGGTCATGGTGCGCTGCTAAGCGTTGCGGGTTGACTGAATATGGAAGAGCATTACAATGGCCACGGGCAACCCTCGTTGACAATTGCCGAGTGCTTCCCGAGGCAGGTGGGAGAATTTGTAAATCCCGTAATAGGCAAATCGGAGGATCAACTCCGCAGTGTGTGCCCTGGTTTGACGTCAAAAACACACAAGAAGAGAAATAACTAACATACAGGTTCCTCGAAGAAGCGCTGATGTCATCTCTCAATCTCAATCGACGGCGAAAACGGAATGGTTGGCGAAATGGTCCATGCGCGTTCCACCAGTTGCACCGGATCAACTACGGCTCGGACATCCGACACACGCCAAGAGATTGGATCACATCCCGTCGGCAAACTTCAACCTTAAAATGATCCTACCGCAATATGACAAGCCGGCACCTTGGCTATGCAACGAAACTGTTGTAGGTAATCTGCAACATCGCATCTCGGATATCAGTTAACGCTCCATTGTTATGAAGAAGGTTCTTCTTAAGAGTTAGTCAAGCGTCTTGCATGGACCAACACTCCATGCAACAAAGATCGTTCATCTTCTATCTCAACTTGCATGACCATCAGAGACAAGTTGAACGACCGTGCATGCATGCCTGCAGGCTTTGAAGGGAACGAGTACAGTGAGCAACCGCAAGCTCAGGCTGCTGGGACAATCCAACAAAAGCGTTCCAAATACTCCTAAAGCATTGCACAGGCATCAGATGGGTCAGCTCGGCGGCTGGCCCACTGCCTGACATCAGGCAAGCTGACATACAACTGAGCCGCCCTGGCGCCCTCGCGCCTGCCCATGTCTTGATCGTCGTCCTCACTTCAATTGACTTGTCCCAGAGATTTCTCTCGCCGCCGAAAGGTGGTGTAGTTCGGACTACGGCCGAAGAGGTATATGATCAGATTGAGATGTACTTGCTGTCGAAGTGACGGTAATCGACCAGCACGCCCTCGGTATAGTCACGGTATATATCGGAGCATATTTGGCCCGGATAGTCGGTGTCGTTGGCGGCGAGCGTGTAGCTGAGCTTGCCGTTGTGGTTTGCGACTCCTTCGAGGAAATCGGCAATAGCGTTGCCGCTTCCTGCCCCAGCAGACCGCAGTACAGAATGGCCGCCACGTTATCGTGGTTTGCACAGGCGGAGATGATGCGGGACCGGTCACTTTCATTACGAAGACGGTGTTGTTGCAGCTATAGGCGACAATCTGGACGAGCGTGTCCTGGTCGTCATTGGACAGCTCCGATCGGCCACCACCCTCCCCCGTCCAGAAAGACGAAGCAGACGCCCGACTGTTCTCGGACCGGGTGTAGCCTTCAATAGAAGGCGAGCTGGCCGTGCCGCTGCCAACATCGCATTGGTTCTCTCTTCGCTGCCAAATCCGGGACGAGATGCTAAGGGGAGGAGAGCCGCTGCCCATGTCCGTGACATTTCCATTCCACTCATCCCCATTCCAGTTCCATTGCCGCTCATGCCAAGCATGCCGCCACCGAGACCACCCATGCCGCCGCCGCTGGAAGTGCCAGTGTAAGCTGTCCCTAGTGTTAGCAGGCACTTCTTCCCGTTGGATGGCTTAAGTTGCGGAAGACGCAATGTCGTTGACGATCCACTAGATCATGCTTCTATCAATGATGGCTTGTACACTGTTGGCCTGGAAAGGAAGTACTAAGTACGGCAGAGAGACCTCTCTGGAGCCACCGCAGCTGGGAAGATGGTTTCGATAGCATCCGAAGGCGTACGACTGACGGCCAACCGCGGTTGGGTCCGGCGATGGCCGGTCCCGCATGGCACCGCGAGGCTTGTTGAGTGGCAGACCACGACCATCCTGGTTGTCGTTCTTCAGGAGCACCGTCGCCTCTCGGCCGACCTGTCGAATCAGAGAAGCGTGGTCGGCCCGGACGGTCGCGGTAGTCGAAGGCGCCGGCTCCCGAGGGCCGCTTCCCATCATCAAGGTCAATGAAGTATCTTAGAAGCCGATGACGTTGCGCAAGGACATGTCATCTAGACGGGCTTGGGTCAAGCTTCCGTTTATCCAGCTTCAGCGATGGTGTCGCTCCACAGCGAGCTGGACCCGTAGTCCAACCCCGCGTTGGCAGATCCGAACGACGTCGATCGGGGAACACGATGCCAGGGAAGCCCGGGTCCGACTTGAGATAGCCGCTGAGCAGCTTTGTTGTTCTCCCACGACAGGGTGTCGTTCGCCTTGTTCATGGCGCACATGACGGCCATCATACCGCTCTTGACTCCGTCGGCAAAAGGCCACAGGTATACCTCGCGCACCGTCTTGTCCTCCGCAGGGGAAGAGTAGCAAGTAGCCGGTATTATTGACTCGTCAACTGCTTGTTGAAGAGGAAGTGCGGCCTAGCCGCGATGACGCCCGCATCCTACATGCCAACCACTGTTTGACCGATGCACTGCCGTGGAGGTAAGGCTCCGGAGAGAATCACTCGCGCGAACGTCTGCTGTACGGGACCCCGTCAAGCGGGCCCGAGGCTGCACCGTTGATGAGATTGTATCCTATCAGATAATACTCGGTGCCCACCGCCTTCCACTGCGAGGCGAAGAATGCTCTTGTTCCACGTCATGGTGAGAGCGCAAGGCTCGCCGAAACCAGACACGACGAACTGTCCTTGGGGCCTGTCATTCCATGTTTTTTTGTTAAGCGCAGTCTAGGTAGCGTTGCCGCTTACACTTCCACCAATGATGATCAATCTCTTTGGCACGCTGTGAGAGAGGCGACGAGATTCTTGGCCTTCTGATAAGCCTGGACGGCAACGCCTAAGTCGACTTGGGAACTCCCAGTTAGATGTTTGTTGCACAGACACCTAGTCTCTTCCCAGCACCTATCATTGCCGTCAGCAAGAGAAGTGCTACGATGATGGAAAAAGAATAAGTAGACGAACTGGATGTTGCTACCAAGCTGTAAGAACCGACCGGAGTGATCGATAGCACTCGCCGTGAAGGCAAAGAACGCCACTGGCGCCTTCATGGTTATAAATACAAGTACCGGGTGGAATGATTGAGGAGAAAGTTGCTTCAGAGACGGTTCGTTTCAGATTTCGACGAATGTTGTTCAAAATATAATATTATTATTCCTACACCGCTGTGCCTTAGGGCGTGCCGGACCTTCAACTTACTTGTTCAAAATATAACTAATCCACCACCTTCACAAGCAGTATCAATACGATATATGAAAGTGAGGCACTTGGATTATCAACACCGCCCAAGGCGCCGAGCGAGAGAAATAATAAAAATAGATACACAACGTTAGTTATAGATAAAGGGCATTTTCGGCTCACCGCAGTGCAAATAGTTAAACAGAACACCTTTCCCTTCTTGGTACGGAGCATCACTGGCTTTTCTCTTATATGGGCACTTCCCTATCGCTACCACAGCATCTCTTGCAATGTATATACAGACAGTGACTTGCGGCCGAATACCTTAGTGTAGGTACCTAACGTAAATCGAGTGCAATTCCAGTTTTGCGTTCAAGTCATGAAGTGCAGCAGCCAGCTGAGTTGGGAATGAGTAGGCGGGCTGCTGCGCACGCCATTTTGGGGTGGGTTGACGTCTTACTGACCGAGGATCACGCCAACCACTCCCCCTCCCGGCTTCCTCTACGCTCTTCCTCCCTCCTCCAGTTGGCCTCTTCTACCGAGTCAATTGCCGCAGCATCTCTTCCTCAGACATATCCCACAGCCCATAATTCCATCTCGATCAAGATCGGGCCCCGTCTTTGCTATCAACTACTTCGTCCGACGTCAAGCTCCGACGGCACTCCCTCTGGAGCGATCCGGTTCTGTGTGCGAAAGAAAACAAAAACGCCATCAAGGCAAAAGCACTGGACGCCGCAAAGGCAATCCTCAACGCATCGCAATACAGGGCTCGGACCGCAGTCTCCAGCGCCGGAGACAGCTCGCTGAGCGAGAACAGAGACTTTCGCAGTTTCTCGATGAGCTGCCGTCGCGTTAGAAACGACGCATCGGAGTATTGACGTATCTTGGGGCACCCACCTCTTCAGTCGCGGCATCCCCAAGCGTCCCAGAGAGCCGCGTCAGCAAGACATTCTGGACAATAGCGGAGGTCACGGTAACACCGTAAATGGTGCCCAGGGACCGGATCAAATACAGTGTCGAGGTAGCAACTGCTTGATCTGCCTATGGTTAGCTTGTCCTCATGCAGGTGAGTTCGCAGCTGCCCTAAATACCTGAATGCTCGAATAGAGACACAAAGCTAAAAAGCACGCTCGGGTTCGTTAGGCCGAGTCCGAAGTTTGCCGGCAAAAGATAGACGAATTCACGCCACCGATTCCCCGTTGTTCCCATTGTAAGAGCAAGAAGGTTACCGAGCAGCATTGTCCCGGTCCCCAGACGGACATTCAGACACAACGGATAGCCACGATGCATCAACGACCCCGCAACAACACCACCGAGCGGAGTAGCGAGCGCCGGGACCATGAGGCGCAGTCCCGCTTGAGACGGAGAATCACCCCTTACTGCTTGAAAGTACAGTGGAATCATGAACATGTACTGACGAAAGCGTTAGCAGCTCCAGTTCTCAGCGATAAACGATCGGACGAACACTCACAGCGTACGCTGCCATACCCGAGAACACGTTGGTCAGCTGGACGGCAGTGGGCTGCCAGCCGCGCAACATCCGGAGCGGAATCATGGGGATCGCCTCGGTCGTGGCCTCGATCATCACGAAGATGAGGAGCAAAACAACGCTGCCTACCAGCGAGATGGTAACAACAGGGCTATCCCAGGAGAAGTCGTTGCCACCCAGACTCAAGCCCAAGAGCTGCGCCACCAGCCCGAACACCAGGACGAGAGCTCCCGAAAAATCCAGACGCCGCATAGCAGACAGGAAGGGGTGCTTCGCGTCCACTACGGAGTCAATGCATGGGGGGTTTTCCAAGACAAAATATCCCACAACAAGGGCCAGGACTGAGACAGGAACCTGCAGCAAGAAACACCAGCGCCATCCGATGGTCTCGGCAATCACACCTCCGAGGGACGCTCCCAAAACAGCACCAAGCCCGACAAGAATATTCTGCATGGCCTGGTACATGCCTCTTCGCTTGAATGGAATCATGTCCGAGTTAATCACGGTAGCTGTCACCAGTCAGTATCTGGTTCAGTCAGAATCGCGCCTTGGTAGACAACTTACCCATGGTGATCAGGCCGCCTCCTCCGAACCCCGTCACGGCCCGCATCACATCGAGCATCAGCATGCTGTCTGCCACGGAGCAGCCGAAGCAGCCGACCATGAAGGTCACGGTCGAAATAAAGAAGCATATCCTGCGGCCGAACATGTCTGAGAAGCGGCCATACAAAGGCTGAAAGGCTGTGCTCGTGATTAAGTACGACGTCGTCAGCCATGCCGCATTGTTTGCAGCGTTGAAGTTGGAGCTTATGGCCGCGTACGTCGACGCCGTGATGGTGCCATCGAATCCGGAGAGAAACACGTTCGCCCAGAGGGCTACGATTACACAGTTAGTATCCGGGCAAGGCTCGCACCTCATCTCCTTCCGTCTCGGTCGCTACCTACCTGTTTCAATCCACCAGAAGCCAGGTGAGGGGTGCCATGTCGCCTCGTCGACTGGCTTCGGGAAGGTCACATAGGCAGTTTTTTGCCCCTGTGACCCTAGGAGAGATGTTGTCTCGTCGATCTGCTGGACAGAGACGGCGACGTCCCGGGACCGCGAGTTGTCTTCCATGCGGTTGATGGTCAGTATGTTGCGATTCCAGTCGGATTGGCAAGGCTGAGACTCAATATGCGAGCGATGTGCCTCTGCTCCGGAGTCCGGTATGTAGATGTACCACTGGAGTGGCAAATGCCAACTTGTGTGGGAGGGGGGAGGCCGAGTGGCCAGGCCCAACGTGCTAGCTACACTTTTCCGCTATGGGAAAGTTGCGTCGCATCGTCGCTCTGGACTGTCCAGTCCTGCCTTTAGCTGCGGCATCGGATGCATGCGCGGCACAGACACAGGCCGATAGTTCTGCGCCGATAACGGTTTGAGATGGCGGGCCGTTTTCCAGCCTTCCTTTCTTCCTTCTGTGCGCTGCTTTCCACGTCTTCCATTATCCAGTCATCGTCTCGGCCAAAACACCCACAGGCTCTTCACCTCACACTTCAATTTCATCCTGAGCCCTGTCTAGCGAGAGATCGAATATCGTCGTTGAAGACTTGGGTTCGATCGGGGTCTGGACCGTCCGGCCCCTGTCCTGCCCCATGCCCTTATCGTGCCCTTTGGGACCCGCGTGATCTGATCCACCGGGCGCGAAGCGAGACTGTGTTCTGGCCAGCAGCCGTTGAGGCGCCTGTGTGGCGTTTGATTCTTGTTTTCCAATTACCTTGGCACTATTTATCTCTGGCTTCTCACACATCTTAGCCTGTTGCCGACCGTCCTGCCCTTTAGCATTGATGCTCTCACTCATCACTTCTGCCGCAACCGGGCAGGGCTCACCCCGTTGCAGCCGATTGGGGTTCGCTCCGGGCTGATGTGCATTAGCTTGAATCCCTTAAGCGATTTTCGTCCTTGATATCCACACTTCCCCGCTCTGTCCGTTGTGTCCCCTCCGAGTTTCGACGGCTTTCAGTCTTTGCCGACTTTCATTTCGTGAGGCCCAGGATAGTCGTTTTGAAACAGCTTCCGAGACACAAAAGGTCAAATGGGCCGAGTTTTCTCTCCGAGACATCAGGTGTTCGGGGAGATGGCCCTTGGATTTTTCAACGTATACCTGACCTAATGCTCTGCCGTACTGACCCGCCATATGATAGGCCTAACAAGAATCTCGGTGGCCTAAGATGCACAGCTTTATGCGGGCAGCTCGCCCGTACCATGCCCTAGATCATGGCCTTCTTGGCCAGCATGCAAAATTCCACATCCTCAGGCCAGTCAGGGAACCTGTTGGAACGTGAACCCTGATTCAGGGGTGCGAAGACGGACCCACATGTGGCTGGTGATAGACACCCTGGAGGCTGTCTGGAACATCGGACAGTTGAGAACACAGAACACAATCAACATCAGAAACAACCAAAATTGACATCCTCGTGACACTCTGCGACCACTGACCATTTTTCCCTTCGTTTGCCTCGTAGCGGTTCCGACAGAACCCATCCTCAAACAAATCCGTCAAACAGTCCAACTCTCCCTCCCATCCCGTCATCTCGCCTTCACAACCTTCTCCCAGCTCACAAGCTCCTCGTCTGTCAACAAAAACGCATCTAACACCGCTTCCAAACCCTTCACATTGAGCTAGCTCCTCCCCAACGAACACAATATCCTGGCCCTGTCCCTACTCTCATCATCTCGGGATTTCATGCTGCACAAGCGCGTCGACTTTGGCATCGCCCGTTGTATAGGCCTCGGGAGGGAGAGTGCCCAGAACCAGGGCCGTCCGCCGCGAAGTGTGAGCATATGTGCGCCCGCCTGTGACCATGAGCCGGTACAATGGGGTCATGTGGCGAAGAAAAGAACTCGCCCTTGGAGCTGAAGAGGCGGAAGAAGAGGGGCGATGCGCGCTTGTTGCCGAGGATGGTGTTGTTCTCGGTGAGCTTGACGCCGATCAGGGTGCCGTTGCTGAACTGTCGTTTGACGTGCTGCCGGATGACTACGGGGAGGAAGTCGACAAAGGCCGATTCACGGTCGTCGGTCTTATGCGGCATCTGGAATTTGAGCCGGAATGTTCGTCGCCCCCTTCCTCGGCTTCATCGTCTTCGCCGCCCCTGTCTGGATGCTCTAACCGGAGGATGAACTTGTCATAAAACAAAGCCCATAGTTGACGAGAATGGAATAGCCGTCTGGGCGTTCACACGAGATTGCCGAAATTGTGCTCCTCTGTCTCGGGCTTTTGGTATAAGGACGTTGTGGCTGTTGACCTGTACCATGCTCAGATAGGCAAACCCAGAATGATTTTTGATGACGCCAGAGACTGGCCTCCCTGAGAATCATGGCAACCATATCCGGTTCCGACACGCTCCGTGTTGAACATGCCCGTGTTAACGATTTCATTCATATCAGTTCTGCAATAGCTTGATTCGAGCGCCTTTGCCCGCTGGTTCAGCTTGGTAATCCTGTCAGAACTGCGAGCTTTCACCTCTCCGTCAACCTACGGCGCACGAGGAATGCCAGGTGAAAAAAAGGGAAAGGGGTCAAACTTACACCGTATCCAGGTCTTTCCGCATTCCTCGTCGAGCTGGGTGGCCGCATCTGCGGCTAGAGAGCCCATCTGCTCGGCCAATCTCCGATCAAATGTTTCCGCCAGCTGCTCTGGCTCGCTGACACTTCTGCTCTCGGTGATTGGTGTAGTCGAAGTCTTGAAACTCTGACAGTCGAACCAGTTCGTCGAGAAAGTAACCTCGAAGGGCGCAGCAAATTCACGCATTTGCAAGGCGATGACTTTCTCCTGAGTCTTTGTGAGGCGGAGGGTTTGCTTCATGATCAGAGAGGCATCCACGTTAGTGCTTAACATTGTGTCAGTAGCTATGGGGCTCTAGACGGAAGGCAAGTTACGCAAAAGAATGCTCATGCGCTGATGTCGTCGGCGACAATGACCACCTACTCGGAGGCCATGCTCAATCCGAAGGATGTGCCGAAGTCACGTCACGTCGTCTTCCCCCTGCCCTGTCCCTTCGAACCGTTTCAGTACTCATCTCCCCAAGTACTCAAGTCTGTTGATGCCAGGTTGTTTAGAGTGAGACCAGAAAGAAAAAGTGACTGGAAGGCCTTCTCTTGTGTATCCGGCTTGCATGGTGCAGTGATGTTCTGCTCCTTGGATCATGTCTGCGCTGTTGTGGCCACGATTTGACCGAAAGAAACAAACTAAGGAGGAAGGGGTGGCAGCGGAGGATGAAAAGGAGAGGACGGGCACCAGCAGGAGGTCCGTCACGGTCTTGAACTTTTATCTCGGCGATGTGCGCTCAGTGTCATTCCCATTGACGTGATGAGCCAATGCCCCGCCGTCGTCTCCATCATGAGACCCTTCGTTTGGCCATCAAGGTTCCCTATCAGGGGTCCTGCAGAAAGAGAGCTTTGAATTGATAAATCAGGGATTACAGATTGGCTGGACGTTAGCCTGGATCGATCCCCTTCCACTATTATGTTGATGTTCTTTATGGCTCCCATATTACAAACATAGGAAGGTAACACAAGATCCAACAGAGTGAGGATCATGATTATTCCGGCTAAGTAAATTACTACTTCGGCTAGATTCCTCTGCTCTTGCCAGTGACTCATGGATAACAATCCAAGTCACCCGCTAGGTTGAGGCTTGATACCTCCTGTGCAACATCTTTACAACAACCCTTAAAGCCCACGGTTCTTTTGTTCGCCAATCTCAAACACTGAGAAAGGAAACTGGCGTCACAGGGACACCCAACGCCGCCATGCACATGGTTACTAACACACCAATTTCACCTACACCAGCTCCAGTCACATCACTTGAGCCGCCTCCAAACCCCGAGCGATGCCACAACAATTTTCTACCAGCAGAATGACTCAAGGCAAAAACAAGCCTTTGAGAGCCAAACGCGGCCCCAGCCAATCTTCAAACCGTGTCCCCAAACTCCCGCGCCCATCCCCTTAGTGCGACGCTGTCCTCTCCCCGTACCAGCTCCTCGAAGCAATCCTACTCCACGTCGACATGCGTACCCTCCTCGTCTCCGCCGTGCGTGTAAACTCATACTGGCAGTCGGTCATCACCTCCTCCCTCGCCCTCTAGCGGCATCTCTTTTTCGCCTCCGACCCAGATATGCCTACAACAGCCACCCTGACCACCGGGAATACCACCCTCCCACCCGCAGCCCTGAAAGCCCGCCTCGTCCAAAACTCCCTCCTTGCCTCCGCCTTTCCCAGCCTCTTCAACCTCGTCGGCGCCGGGGAAGACGAACCCTGGCAGGTGGAAGCAGGCCTGCTGCCGAGGTGTGCTGGGTTTTTGGATGCGCGGACTTCATGGTTAATACCCAAGAGGCAGAAGAGTAGCTGTCTCGGCTGGGATTATAGACTGGTCAAGCCGAAGCCTAACCCGGCCATTATGGGGTAAAGGTGCTAGCTGGCGGCGGATGCTCGTGTCGCAACCGCCGCCGGTGGTGGCCGGCCGAGTAGGGACGTTGAAGGATGCATGGAAGGGGAGAAGGGCGGGGTTTCTGGTAGATGTGAGCCGGGACGGTTGTGGAGGGCTGAGGATGGGGGAGATATATGATGCTGTGTTTGCTGTGAACTGGGAGGGCCCCAACAGCGGGCCGTGGGTTGCTTGGAGGGTGCCTCGGGAGATGGGATGCTCGCATATGCTACCTAGAGTGGAGGATCTTGACTTGAGCTGTCCGCCTGTAAGGCCCCTGCCGCCTGCGCAGTAGTTGGCGGTCGCTGATTTGGTGATTGGGGAGGATGATCGGGAAACGACAAGGAGTGGGAATCACCATCTGCGGGTTTGTACAACGCACTACAACGGGTCGTGCTTTGTAAGGTACGACGGGGCAAAGGAGATATTTCACGGTGAAGAGTACGAACCAAAGGGTCGGCTATGGCTGCCACCTAAAAAGAAGAGGGGCAGCAAACAATATGAAGTCATGAGTAGGCCTTTTGCCGATTAGGTGGTTTCTTCACTTCAAGTCATTAGGGGCATGGGTCAGGATCTCAACGATTGATGCTGGGGTCAGTTGAACGGCGGCTGACCTTCTAAACAATCCTGCTTATACTGCCGTCAATAGATGGTGGCATTGTCCGAGTTTATTTTCGAATCATAATATGAATTGGGTGACGGATATCGGAGAACATGATGTGCCCTGATTGTGTATGGGAGTTGAGATATCCCCTGCTGGGGATGACACGACGTCTGACAATTGCAAACCATGGAGAAGAAGGATCATGAACAAAGAGGACGATGGACGGCCGAAGGTATCTGGTTCGACTGAGCGTAGAGGTACATTTTTCATGGAGGTAGCCCATCGTAAAGTGTCTGGCAATGATCTGGGCATAGGCAGGTAAAACAATGGCAGGGGATTGCACTGGTTACTAGTCTAAACCGAACGATGCCGCGCAATTATATCTAATCCAATTTAATCCTGTGTATACATGTACAAACGCAATAGCTTGAAATGTATTGATTAGGTACCCGAGCTTACATGGCGGTGTTGACCGTTACTGATGCACTCCATCCCGCTGGCACCTTGACCGATCCGGAGTCAGACTCGACCGCAATTTCCCGACCTACAACGATGTTCTGAGTCCGAGGCCGCGCTAGCCCCTCGCCCAAAATCTGCTCATCGCTGTCCCAGGCAGTCACCGTGGCGTTGCCTTTGTACCTGCGGCTCCCGAGCGGGTAAGCACCGCTCCCGCCTCCGCCTATTGTTCTGCCTTCGAAAGGTGTGTTATGGGTGTTGTGCGTGGAGAAAAGAACACCAAGCCCGATGTTAGTGCAGAAGGCTCGGATAGGCGGTTGCAGTATGGGCAAGTTGGACACGACAATGGAAACGAACTCCTCGCGGATGGCCCATTCGCTGCCAGTAACTGCGCCCTCCGGACCAGACTATAGAAGACAGACATGTCAGCTTGAACGTCCTTCAGAAGGGCAGCGCAGGTAAGCATAACGGAGGGCTACGTACAGTAAGGATGACAACTCCACGGACGATGGCCGCTGCAATGACAAATAGAACTCCGGAGAACAGGGCGGTCAGGGAAAGCTTCTTCTTCAAACTAATGTTCACAGCCCAGAGAAGCTTTTCGAGGCCTGTGTAAGCAAAAGTGACCCCGGCAAAATGAAAGATCAGGGACGACATACTGGGAGAGGGATAGCCAGCAAGTACACGTCGGTGAGAACATCCGGGATCAGCACGGACAGAACGTAAAGCTTGGAGTTGGTCGGTTGACAAACTGCGAGCCTGATGTCAGCACCATGTTTTGAAAGTCCAGGCTGCGGAACGAGAAAACCTACCACTCCCAGGGTCGGGGTTGATCTGCCAGTATTTTGACATAGGCCGACACCCAAAAAGGAGAAGGGCCGTAGTGACGATCCAGGTGATGCCAATGAATGCATACGCAATATAAACGCGAATTTTCAGATTCGCCAGGTTGGTACTGTCTCCAAGTCGTCAACCAGGGTGGGCAGGGAAGGCAAGAGTGGCAGGGTGATTAACGCACGTTAGCCTGGAGTAGAAGACAGCGACACAGACTTTGATGCACCAAAGACTCGCGGCGTAGAGGGTCCAGCCAAAGACCTGAATCTTGGAACCCAGGACACGGTGCGCATACTCTACGGAGTCGGGGGAAAGCGAGGCACGCTGCTCGTCGGTCATGTAGCTGTTGGTTAAGCCATTGGCTCCCGTCACAACGTAAATCGCGGCTACCAAGTCGATTATGCAGAGTATCTGTCGTTGCTCAGTAAGAACTCTCGGTTATCGTCTGAGTCAGCTGACTGGACTCGGCCCGGGACTTACACCAGCGACTGGCATGAGGTAGTCATCTAGCTGCAACCCTCGCAACCCGACATTTCTCACGCGCACAACTGTCCGGAGGGCAATGGTAACCAGCACTAATGAGAGAAGAGTGAAAGCTTCCGCATTTCCGCCCATTTTGTCGTGGTTGGTCCAATTCGGAAGTGGAACGTCAGCTCTCGAAAGCAACAGACAAGAAAAGAGAGTTCTTATTTGACTGCCGCCAGCTCCTAATGAAGCTATTTTAGTACTCACATTCAGGTTGCCTATAATGGTAATGTTTTGCAGTCAGTCGGCAAATTCCGGACCCAAGCCAAGACGGGGAACCTGGGGGCTCGTGGTGAGTTACTCCGTCGTGCTTGCAGATCCTCATGAGATTGCGCAGTTTCGATAGAATGGCCTCGCATTGCTGTAACAATGAAGAGTCCGCGGAATGCATCCCGGGGACCCTGTAGAACAGGGCAAGGTTGCGTTTGTGTTTCACCGCCTAACATGCCCCCCCAGTGGTGTACTACTCCGAGACAGTTCCCCTGAATGAAATAAATTTGCCAGGGATCCAGGACTGACCATATACCAGCCTAGGTAACCTCAATCCCTCTCCTACGGGTTCTTACCTCAGATTTCACGACTATAACCATCTTGGCCAATAATAATCTACAGGCTGGCAGGAGCACCTGAATGCTTGTGCAAGCTGACCACATGCATTCTACCGAATCGGAACCTGCGCGGTCATAAGAGTTGCTGCCTGGCAATGCCAAGGAAACGTGCTAGGGGAGAAGACGTGAAACTATCTCCCTTCTCAAGCTCTAGAACTTGAATCGTAAAGCTGGTTGGCAGGTAGGCGCTCATTTTCATCCATCATCATCATCATCTCGGCGAGACTCGGCCAGCATGATAAGTTTGCGTCGGCGCGGAAACAACGATTGAGAGCTCGAGTCTGGAATGTGTGCACGGATGGAGACTAGTGTGGAATCGGGGAGTCTTCCGGAGTCTCTTCTAGACAGGGGCTTTCCCCAGGCCGTTGTTCTAGCGTCTTTAAACGCGCAAGTTACAGGGTCAGGGATCCGTGAGTTCTATACAGTGTGTCGACATTGGGGGAATGTGCTGCCCCTCACTGGACGTGTCTAGGGATTGACGATGCTAAGCTAAAAGGGGTCAGACTTCCCCTCTGACAATCATTGCCCATCTCAGCTATCATTTCGGCCCTAAATCTTCCGCACATAAACGCCATTATTCGACTCTTTGCGCCGCCTCAAGGTCGAGTCCTCGACAACAAAGCGTGTCCACCGGTTGCGGCCCCTTTCGTTCCAGCCTTGGAACCATCCCAATCGCAAGCGACTCACAACAACAGGGCAGCAACACATAAGCTAAGCACCAAGATGGAATCCGCATATGACTTTGTGGTGGTCGGAGGTAGGTTACCCCTGTTCGTCTGCATGTTGACCTTCTCGCGAGGCATCAGAAGGTACCTAACCCGCGCACGACAACAGGCGGGCCTGCGGGCTGTGCACTTGCGTATGGCTTGGCTCACTCTCCCAAAAACCCCAAGGTTCTCTTGCTCGAGGCCGGTGGGAGAAATGCGGACCCAAACCTCCGGGTCGATGGGCAGCGTTGGTTGACCTTCACGAACAAGGACTTGAACTGGGGTTACATGACAACACCCCAAGTTCACTGCGGCAATCGAGAGCTCGACTATTCTAGGGGCCTTGGTCTCGGCGGATCTAGCGCTATCAACTTTGGTGTCTTCAGTATCGGCGCCCGAGACGATTACGAGGAGTGGGCACGCATTGCGGGCGACGATGCGTTCCGCTGGGCGCCAGTCCAAGAACGCCTCAAGCGCTTGGAGACGTTTCACGGCGCCCTTCCCACTGGCATTGGCACTAAGTACGCATCGCCCAGGACCTCGGACCATGGCTCGTCCGGTCCTCTTCACGTCGGGTATCCTGCCGAGTGCGAGGCCGACCTCGTGCCGCTGCTCGATGCCTTCGAGCAAGCCGGATACCCGCTGAACCCTGACCACAATTCCGGCAACCCAATCGGCATGTCCTTGCTGATCAGCTCGGCACACAAAGGGCAACGCTCCACAGCCCAAGACCTGCTCACCCCCTGCCCAGAGAACCTCACCGTCTTGGCTGAGGCACCAGTGCAGCGGGTCCTGTTGGAGGGTAAAAGGGCGATTGGGGTTGAGGCGAATGGGAAGGCTTATTTGGCTTCCAAGCAGGTCATCTTGGCGGCCGGTGCCCTCAACACTCCGCGAATCCTTATGCACTCTGGAATTGGACCGAAGGAGCAGCTTGAGCAATACAATATCCCCGTGGTCCACGATGTCCCGGCCATCGGCCAAGGTCTCCGGGACCACGCCTTCTGCCCGCTGGTCTACACCCGCACGGAAGCCAGCACTGCTCGTCACGGCTTCTACGGCAACCAGGCGGCCATGGACGCCGCCTTGCAAGAGTGGAAGCAACATGGCACGGGACCATGGACCAAGTTTGCTACCACGATGGGCATCGGCTTCTTCAAACTGGAGAGACTTCCCTCCTCGGACGAGTTCAAGTCGCTGCCTGAGGAGGAACAAAGATATCTCAACTCGGAGACAGTGCCGCATTACGAAATCTTCACGCACTTCCCAATTCACTGGTTCCTCCCCGGCTTCCGAAACGAAGACCTCAACTACTCCTGCCTGCTCGTCTTCCTATACAACGCCCAGGGCCGGGGAACCGTGACTCTGCAGTCGTCCGACCCCAACGTCCCGCTTCTCTTCGACCCCAAGTTCCTCGAGCATCCCTTTGACCGTCGCAGCGCCATCGAGTCACTTCGCGAGGTCTTGCGTTTTACAAGAACCGAGGCATACGCCAAGGATACGGTCTCGACCCTCGCGGCGCCCAAGTCAGACTCGGATGAGGATCTGCTAGAGTACTGGGCGCAGACCATCGGGTCCAGCTGGCATATGACCGGCACAGTCAAAATGGGTAAGCCAGGTGACGCCGACGTCGCGGTGGATAATGATTTCCGGGTTGTGGGCGTCGAAGGGCTGCGCGTCGCCGACATGAGCGTCGTTCCGGTGCTGCCGAGTTGCCATGTGCAAGCCGTCGCGTGTAAGTGCCACGCTTATGTGTTTCTGACCTGGTAACAAACACTGACCTGTTGGGCAGACATTACCGGCGCTATATGTGCCGAGAAACTCGTCAAAGACTATGGTCTTGAGTAGAACCGGTGCCTTACCTCAAATGTTTCGTCTCACCACAATCTATCTCGCATGTGCACTGCACTCTGGTTTCACTTCCATAGCCGAGATAACCATGGATGTACTCGTTCATGCTATGGATCTCCCTCGAGATAATCAGAACCGGTAATCATCCTCATCGTTGACTCTCCATCCCTCCGGATTGTGTCTGAGCTGCGCGGGACTGAACTCAGGTGGCTCTTAGAATTCCCAATTCTGGCGACGTGCCAACAGTCAGTCCTCACATGCTTCGATCCAAGCCTTGCGACCGTTCTCAACCTTTTGTACTGGACGAATGCAGCAGCCTCGTACTCGAGACAAAACTCTCCTGCTCCTTATCCCACGCCGAACCCACAAACCATTCACCGCCAGGCTCCCCCATATCCAACTCATGCACATCCAGGTCATGTTGCCATATAAAGATAGTCTCAACCTCGGCGGCTTCCCTTCCATCGTCAACCTCCCGCTGCAAGGACACTACCTTGCCCCGTTCTCATTCACTCTCCGCTGAATTCACATCCGCCCCCTCCATTCTAGACAATTTGCACCGTTTTAACGGAGCCTGAAAGGCAGTAAAAATCACCCGGCTCGAGGACGGAAAGACAACCGAAACCTTTTCTCAAATCAGGACAGTCTCGGAACACCAGCTGAGGCAACCAGGACCCGGCCCTCTTCCAGACAAGCCATTTTACGGCGAGTATGGGTTTTTCACCCGGCCACGAGGGCGCGGTTTTCCTGTATAGTAAGTTGTTGAAGGTCCGGCACGCCCTAGGGCACAGCGGTGTAGGAAGAAAATAATAATTTCTCCCAAGCCTTGGCATTATTGCGCAGCTGCCTTCTCAGTTCTACGTGATTACCCCAAAGTTAGGTAAACGTAGGGATAGAAGTCAACCCAAGGTAAAGAGAATTGGCTCCTTGACTGTAGATACCATAGGCAGCCATGAACCCCCAACTCCTCAGCTTCCAACGGCATGTGCAGCTCTGAGCCCAGTCCGGCAAGACTCCTCCCAAGTTCTGCAACGGAAGGGGTCAGCCAGAGACATTGTAGCCCAAACAGAAGAGAGTACATACAGCGTTAGTTATCATTTTCCCAGATACTATCACCATCATTCCATCGTGTTGTGGGCATAAACCTCGTTCACCAGGGCCTAGAGGTCCGGAAGAGACAGGTCCCAAGCTTTGAGACGGAACCTTTATCGGCCCAGGATTTCTACAAAGTCCAACTTGCATGTTTATTACCTCGACCACGGTTGCAGCCATAAGCCCTTCGACATGGAGGAAGCGCCACCTGTTGGTATCTTTCATTAGGATGTGGGTGCGCCGAGAGCTTTGGGTTTTCAACACCTCAATTCATTAACGAATGCTGCTATGATACAAACAATCAACTCTGCCGACTCGGGCCCGGCGCGGCGCGTCACCTCTCACGCTTATTCAGGTCCTCCAAATCATCACTAGGGCGCTTCTTTCCGGACGATCGTGACCATGTTGTCCCTATAATGTGCAGGCACGAAAGGAGAGGAGTACCTATACTTGCCCATCATAACAGTCGCGCCAAAGACCGCCGCCCCCGAGACCAATTAGTACTCATTGACTGTGTCATGTTTGCAAGGCTCAAAGTTAGCTTAGGTCATGTAAGGGATGAAAAGGACGGGCCGAACACAAGGCCCGACAATAAACTTACAAACCGAAGGCCCAGGGATTATGTAATCTCGATTCGGGAGCCAGAAGTCAGTGTAGATATTGTGCACGAGACCAGGGTCCTGGGACGAGTACAGCTGTGACCCAGGGGTCCCCTTTGGCAGCACGGTGCCCTCCCCAGTAACGTTAAGGTTGATGCACTGGGGGTACAACTGCGTCGAGTTCTCTGCGCCGCCAGGGTGAAGGGCAATGAGCTCGTGGCGCAGGACGTAGTTCCCCGGCTTGAGATGTGTAGGTATGGTGACCGTCCAAGTCAAGTTCTTCTCGATCAACAGATCAGTGGCCCATCTCCCCGCCACGCCGCCCACAGTGCTTTTCTCAAGTTGGCCCATCTCGTCAATCTTGAACCATCTGAGCTCGTCCAGGTCAACAGTCGTGCAATCCGCGCCGCAATCGGCCATATAATCGAGCACGGGGCCGTGGTGAGACACGGGCCAGTCGTTCCACGTTACGGCTATGTCGCTACCAGCTGCGACTTGGGCCACCAGCTTGCCGTTAGTGGCGTTAAGATGGCAATTGACGTCGCGCGAGGCGAGAGTCACGGGGTCGGAGGCTACGTAGCCATTGTCTTTTGCGCCGTTGCTCCAGGTAATGCTGTCCGGCTGTGGGCCCCACGGAACCTTCGTCGGATCATGGCCGTAGTAGGATATCCCGGCGATGGTGACTTGGGAGACGTGGCCGTGGCCGGAGACGAGGGTGGCCAAGAAGAAACCGGTTGAGTATGTCAACGCGGAACGCATTGTGAGGACAGTCCAGTAAGGGGTGCTCGATGTAGTCTATGCAGAGGATGGAAGATTGGATGGAAGATTGGATCGACATGTTCTTATACCGCGGGGTTGAGGCCAGACTAAGGGGGTTACTTTGGTAGTTTTAATATACGGGCCTGTTCCCGTAAGTCCGACTGCCACGAGGTAGCATTGTTGCGGACGTGATGAGTCCGTTATCGGTGCATCCTGGAAAGGAACAATGAAGTAACGCAACATAATCAGTAGGGTAGTTTATCAACACATCTTCTCTCGGCTCCGATGCAATGCAATGCCGCTGTTCCGTTGTGACAGCCCCGCACGGCGGCTCAGGTCCGGAACAGTGGTTCAGAGCCCAAAATCTGCCTCTGGCCGGGAAGGATATAGGCCCAACGTGCAGTAGGGATGCATCCAATTCGGGTTTCTTAGGGCCAACGTGGGAGGAATGCAAGGGCGTAATACCCGAGTACTAAAACCAACATGACGGACGTTATTTCAACGAAGGTGAGCCCTTTGATCAGTTTTATCTAGTTGAAAGACCTAACAAAGTCTCGGCGCCATTGGAATAATACTTCAAACGCGACGAATGTTTTGTCCTCTGGCAGTTGCCTTGTCTATTACGCCGACGGACGACGGCTTCGCCAGGATGCTGAACCTTACTGAGGTTGTCCAGGCGTGAGCTGGGAGAATTGTCCCCAAGATACGATCGTGCGAAGACAAGACACACGATGATCATACGTCTCAGGGTATCTCGACGGTTGAAAGATACTCCGACAGATCGTAACTCCCATTGATGTGCGTTGAGCTTTCGTTGCAGGGCACCAACCGCACTTCTGATGAATCGGGAGAGCCTCTACAATTGTTCCAAGAAGATCCCGCAGAAGGCCCAAGACATTTTCTATGACGGTCCGGCCCGGCGGTTCGGCTCCCGCAGCGATGGCTCGGAGCTACAATAGTAACCCGCTTCCGGCCGCCACATGCCCTGATTGGGAAGGAGGGTGTGGGGCCAATAGAGCAGCGGCTGTGCGGAGGCTGGACGAAGCGGCTGTCCCAGACTCTGGTTCTACACAGTAACTCCTCCTGAAATTTGGGTGTGAAGACGGGAGGAAGGCAACGGGTTTCCTCCTGGCGTAGGCTTAGAGCTTCCGCTTCAACAGCATTACCCATTAGTTTCCGCACCTATGCCCTTCTGTATAGGGACCTTCTAGGTTGATTAAGATGTGTGTTGCTGAAAATCGGAGGAGAAAGGACCTACTAGTTCTCATTATGACTGGTGGCGTTATGAATGCGGTATCTCAGGCACCGATGGCGTCTGTGTAGGTACACTTCCTTGTCGAGCAAATCCAGAATCCGCCGATCAATTAGTTTGATTGGAGTGACTCGACACCATCGGGCGTATTGTCTTAGAATTCTCTTTTTCCAGAGGAGGCTCTGTTGACGTTGTGCGATAGGGAATTTCCGTAAACGTTTGACGTGATTGCAGGCTTGGGATATCGCTTTTGGTTTCGGCGGCCTTCCCGCTTGGGTTCCATGCATATGATGGTTGTGGTCAATCTCTGCAACAATGACTGATAGGATGGTATGAGAGCAAGGATTGATGGGTGTGGACGAGGAAGGAGAGGAAGTGGAGAGGTGACAAGGGGTAGGAAGGGGCATGGGTACTCCAGCCCGCTGAGCAGCTGGCCGCTCCCTCTCTGCTACCTCATGTATCCTGTGGAAGGCAGGCGTCGAGTCTGACCTGGGTCGGAATGCTCGCACCTGTCGCAATCTCCTGCAGCTAATCTTGAGCTGCCCACCTTAACCGACCACATCCATATTATGAATTTGGAGTCCGTTAGGCTGGGGCACTCGCTTCAGTTTTAGCAAGTCAGCATCCCGCTTGCAAGGGGCTTGTTCTGGGAACCCATGTCGCCAGCTTTCCTAGGAAATAAGGTATAGTCCGGGGAAGCCGATGCAGTCTTGGAGAAGTGGCTGCAGCACCCCATGGCAAGTTCCACATCCAGGGCAAGGCGAAGGAAGGAAAGTAGTTGGTGTCCTAGTCGGCTGGTTGCTACAGGGTTGGGGGCAAAGGGGGACAGCAGAACTTTGAGGCTAGTCCTAGTTGACGTGTATGCAATCGGCTGCGCTACATAGGTTCCGCACCATAGCACCCTAGCACCATGGCACGTAGCCTGGTTTCGCGGAGGTACCTTAATATCCGCGGAGGTCAGATACCGAAGCGAGGCTAGTACCCGGGATCACTAGGATTACCACCAGGGGACCATGCAGGCATGCACCGGGCCACCCATTTCCTAGGCTCGTCGCACAATTTTGTGCAGAAATCGCGGGGGGCCCACGTGGGGCTCTAGACCGTGGCAACATGGTGCCGGAATTGCGGGGGAAACCCCGTGGCGAAAGACACCCCGGGCCAGTTGGTACCGAAGGTAGAAATCGCGGGGAAGGGCTCTTACTCCTCCATCAGGCTTACGAACCGTGAGTGTGCATGCCCTGCGATTCCTTGGCGGTATCTCCTCTATAGGGTTCTAAGATAAATCATAATAATGTTCTGAACCTACTAGGTTCACCGCGGTTTCCGACCTCCGCGAAGAGCAGACTGCCTCCGCGGTGAAAGTAAGGTAGAATAGAGTTTCAGTCAGGGTGCTTTTCTGCTCCTCCGCGGCGTCAGGTCACATTCGCAAAAATTCAGAATAGCTCGAAACTACTGCGGGAGAAACAAAGTGGGGAAGTCTGGTGCGTCAAGCCTTGGGAAGTTAGGATTCGTAGGGAATTCTTCTCTTAGGGGTACACAAAAGGCGACTGGGGAAGACATGCGACAGCCGGAGAATGCATAAAGCATGCGCCTTCGTCACCACGAACTTGTGACCCTTCAGCACCAACAGCCATCATCCCACTCTTTCGATTGCCTTTCTACGCATACCTCCGATGCATCCATCTTGTTATGATGGCCTCCTTCTTTGCCTTTACCCTGCTTTTCGGGCTCTGTCTTTTGCAAGCTGCAGGCGCACAGACCTACAATGAGCCCTACAGACCTCGTTATCACTTCACCCCGGCGAAGAACTGGATGAATGATCCAAACGGCCTGCTCTATTACAACGGCATCTATCATCTTTACTACCAGTACAACCCTGGCGGGAACACCTGGGGAGCTATGTCATGGGGCCATGCGACCAGCGATGATCTGACGCATTGGAAGCACGAACCTATTGCCCTGCTTGCCCGTGGCTACCCAGATAACATCTCTGAGATGTTTTTTTCCGGTTCTGCCGTCGCGGATACCAAAAACACAAGCGGCTTTGGCAAAAACGGGGCCGTTCCATTTGTGGCAATGTACACCTCCTATGTAAGTCACCAAGGCGCTCCTAGCTTGGAATGCTGGTTGCCTCTGACACCATCTGCTCAGTATCCCATGTCACGCAATCTACCCAGCGGCAAGTCAGTCACCGGTGGGCAGCAAGCTCAATCGATTGCCTTTAGCTTGGACGAGGGAGTGACGTGGACAACATACGATGCCGCCAACCCCGTCATCCTCAACCCGCCCGCACCCTACGCAGATCAGTGGCGTGACTTCCGAGACCCCTTTGTGTTTTGGCACGAGACAACCCAGAAATGGGTCTCAGTCATCTCACTAGCCCAACTCCACAAGCTCCTCATTTACACCTCGCCCAACCTGAAGGAGTGGACCTATGCCAGCGAGTTCGGCCCGATGAACGCAGTCGGCGGTGTCTGGGAGTGTCCTAGCATCTTCCCGCTTGCCCTCGACGAAAACGAAGCCGTAACCAAGTGGGTTCTACAGATTGGACTCAACCCTGGGGGGCCACCTGGAGTTGTTGGCTCGGGAACGCAATACATCGTCGGCAGTTTCAACGGCACGGCATTCGTTGCAGACTCCGACATTCTGCCTCCGTCTCCAACCTCTACATCTGTGTCCACATCCACCAGTGCCGGTTCACAGACATCCACCACTTGTTCTTGTCCAGGAGCAACTGGGGATGTTACATTCCAAGACTTCGAAGGCACAGCCGACTATGGGTCTCGCGGTTGGGTTGCCACAGGGGGGTTCGTCGGGGCGGCACCGGCCCAAGGGACTCTGCCTGGGCAGCAAACCGTCTCCGGATATACCGGTACTCGGCTCGTGAATACTTTCTTGAGTGGAGACTCGACCACCGGCACGCTCACCTCGCCGCCCTTCACGATCACCCGGCCGCTTATCAACTTCCTCATTGGCGGCGGCAATGCACCAGGCGTGGAATGCATCAACTTGAAGATCCAAGGTCAAAGCCAAGCTGTGCGTAGTGCCACAGGCCGCAATGAGGAGAGACTCATCAAACAGACGTGGGATGTCACCGAGTACATTGGCCAAACTGCCGTCATTGAGATCGTGGATCAGCAAACGGGCGGTTGGGGGCATATCCTCATTGACGAGATCACCTTCACCGGTGATGCTACTCCTCCCCCCCCCAGCAGTGATGGAGTTTTCAACTTCAATGGCACCAGTACCTTTGAGAGTCGCGGATGGACCGCTACTGGAGATCTGGTCGGGAAGAGCCCGGCCCAGGGGACGCTGGCGGGACAGCAGGTTGTGACGGGGAATCGAGGAAACTTCGTCAACACCTTCTACAATGGCGATGCGACGACTGGGACGCTGGTCTCGCCCACCTTCACGATCACCAAGAAGCGAATCAACTTTCTCATTGGCGGCGGGAACGCCCCAGGTCAGCAATGTATTAACCTCAAGGTCGGTGGCCAGGTTGTCCGCACTGCCACGGGCGGTGATAGCGAACAGCTCCTGCCTAAGAGCTGGGACGTTACAGCTCTGATTGGCCAGAGCGCCGTTATTGAGATTGCAGATGTCACGACCACGGGCTGGGGACATATCCTGGTGGATGAGATCTCCTTCTCGGATGTGCCGGCTGAGCCGCGAGGGACCATCTGGATGGACTGGGGCCCGGACTACTATGCTGCCGCACCATTCAATGGACTTCCGTCTGCAAACCGCACCAACATTGCTTGGATGAACAACTGGCAATACGCGAGCAATATCCCGACCTCTCCATGGCGGAGCATGTTGTCGATCCCTCGGAAGCTGTCACTCAAGACCATCAACGGATGGCCAACACTCATCCAGCAACCTGCCGTCAATTGGGCCGCTCTCCAGACGGGAACGTATTCCAGTGATTTGGGCACCGTGGCTGAAGGGAACTACCCCATTCCGCTGTCTGGGAAGTCCTTTGACATCACAATGACATTCTCGGACCGGAACTCGGCGTCCTCATCTCAGTTCGGTATCCTTCTCAGAGCAACCTCTGACCAGGCACAGCAGACGCGGATTGGGTACGACTTCAGCACAAAGAGGATGTTTGTCGATCGAACCAAGTCTGGAAATGTTGGCTTCGACGGGACTTTCTCCAATACGTATTACGCACCGCTGGCTCCTGGCACTGACGGTAGGGTCACTATGCGCATCCTTCTTGATTCCTCTTCGGTTGAAGTCTTCGGTGGCGAAGGCGAGGTCACGTTGTCGGCGCAGATCTTTCCCCAGGACACAGGCATCGATGTCCGGCTCTTTTCAACTGGGGGAAGTACAAATGGCGTCACGATTGGGGCGAAGATGCTGCGGTCTGCTTTCAGTACGCCCGCCAACAGCACGAGCGCCACGAGCACCAGCCGCACTAGCTCAACTAGCACGACCCTCAGCACGACTCTCAGCACGACACTCAGCACGACTCTCAGCACGACTCTCAGCACGACTTTCAGCCTGACCGTAACCAATACGATCGCCACAAGCACGACCACCGCCGTCCGCCCTTCTGCCAGCGCCCCCATCGACTTTCGCCCTGTTTTCCACTTCGTGCCAGAGAAGAATTGGATGAATGAACCCAATGGTCTGATCAAGATCGGGTCGACATGGCACCTGTTCTTCCAACACAACCCCACCGGAAACTTTTGGGGTAACCTCAGTTGGGGCCACGCAACCAGTGTTGATCTGGTGTCCTGGACTCACAAACCAGTTGCAATCTCCAGCGCAGACGGCATACAAGCGTTCACCGGGACCGCGTATTTCGACCCTCACAACCTTTCGGGATTGGGATCGTCATCAAACCCACCGTATCTCGCCTTCTATACCGGTTACTTCCCTTCCACAGGGGTGCAGGATCAGCGGCTGGCGTACAGCCTCGATCAGGGTATCACATGGACCAAACATGCAGGCAACCCGATCATTTCGAAAGCCCAAGGAGCGCCCCATGATATCACTCAGGGTCTGGAAATCAGGGATCCCAAAGTCATTTACCATACTCCCTCGGGCCGCTGGGTCATGATTCTCGCGCACGGCGGCCAGAACAAGGTCACTTTCTGGACGTCGAGCGACGCACTATCTTGGACCTGGAGAAGCGATTTCAATGCTAGTCACATTTCAAACCTACCCAGCGGGATCAAGGGGTGGGAAGTGCCCGACTTTTTCGAGCTCCCAGTCAAGGGAACGACACAGAAAAAATGGGTCATGCTCATCACTCCTGCCACTGGATCGCCCGCTGGCGGCAATGGCGTCTTCGCGCTCACAGGGGCTTTCGACGGTGCCGTGTTCACAGCGGACCCCGTTGACCCCAGCGCATTTTGGCTCGACTACGGCCGCGACTTTGACGGGGCCCTCGTCTGGGAAAATGTCCCCGCTTCCGACGGACGCAGGATCCTAGCTTCCGTGATGAACAGCTACGGTGGACATCCTCCGACAAACACATGGAAGGGCATGCTTTCCTTCCCTCGCACGCTGGAGCTCCGGCAGCTGGACGGCAAGCTGCAATTTTTGCAGATGCCCGTGAAGGAGCTCGAGGCGCACAGGTGGCTCGTGGCCAATATCGCGAACCAAAGCATCGCCCCGGGACAGTCACTGCTATCCGGAGTCCATTCCCGCACACTCGACATCAAAATGTCCTTCACGCCATCCCCCGGTTCTACCCTCTCGCTCGCTGTTCGCAAGGCTGGCTCTCAGCAGACTGTCATCAGGTATGTGCAGAGCTCTCAGCAGCTCTCGGTTGATCGCAATGCTAGCGGGAACATCTCGTATGATCCCGCGGCCGGGGGCGTCCACACCGCCGCTGTGCGCCCTGGCGCAAATGGGGAGGTGCAAGTGCGTGTCTTGGTTGATGTATGCTCTCTTGAGGTGTTTGGGGGGCAGGGCGAGGCGGTCATCTCTAACTTGATCTTCCCTGATGTGTCGGCCGATGGTGTGTCTCTGGAGGTGTCAGGGGGAAGTGTGGCTTTAAGGTCGGTGGAGGTGTGGGAGGTCCACCTTTGAGCCGGGTTGCGTTGGGCAACATGTTTGCTGATGTCTCCGTGGAAACACGGTCCCTGCTGGTTTCTTCTCTGCTTTTTAACCTAGTTAAGTACCACTAGGGCTGGCGATAAATAGATTTCTCCATCTAGTGACGCTCGAAGTGGACTCTGTGAAGTAGCCCTGGACCTATTATAGAAGCGCGCTGCCGTGGCGGCCCAATCCGCCGTTTCTCCGAGGGGAACGGCGGCCTGGAGCGGAACGGGCTGGGTGAATCCGGAGCGGGGAACCGACTTTCGGCCGCAACCTGCCTAATTGGGAAGCACATGCGGGACCCGCTTACCCGATGCGCCGAACGGGACTTCGGAGCAGGATGACCTGTTGGAACGTGAACCCTGATTCAGGGGGTGCCAAGACGGACCCACATGTGGCTGGTGATAGACACCCTGAAGGCTGTCTGGAACATCGGACAGTTGAGAACACGGAACACAATCAACATCAGGAACAACCAAAAAATTGACATCCTCGTGACACTCTGCGACCACTGACCATTTTTCCCTTCGTTTGCCTCGTAGCGGTTCCGACAGCACCCCAATCGAGATCCAGGGCAAGCGCTGGCGAGGGCTCGAAGTCTCTGCCCACAAGTCAGGCCGTCTTCCTATTGCTCCTTACAGTTGAAGTCTTGGTCAATAGATCACCTACTTATGCCGCGATTGCCGATTTTGAGTGCCTTAGGTGGGTATAGATGCCTTCTGTGGCAGCCGCAACTCGAATTCTCGACTCCTGAGATGGGTCAATGTCGTTGGATGCCAACATTTCATTCACATGCGCTGTGATGCCAGAGGTGCAGCATTATCAAAATGTGAGGACTCGATCGGAGGACGGATATTGTTTGTTCAAAGGACGGGCTCTTTCTGTGTGTAAGGCTGAGCACGGTACGTCCCTGCATGTTGGCAGGCATCTGGAAGGGATTAGCTTCGCCGGTACCTCCCTGGACACTAATAGTCAACAAACAACAATCGTCAGGAATGGTTGAGTTTCGCTGATTGTGTCATCTCAGTTGTGTAAGTGAGAGGAATTTGCTGCTTGGAAATTACACGGCCAACCAAGTGTCAAGCATGGTAATATTTACAAAATTCCATGGCTAGAGACGTACTGTAACTTATATCTGAAAGACTCGTTGAAACCTTGTTCAGACGCGGTTCTAAGGTCTTCAACTTCAACACTCTATCCGCATCATTACCCTCCGTATACTCCCTCGTCGATTTTATATCCACAAAGTCTAAACATCCTCGATCCACAAGCCAGTCGCCGCGACAATGGCAGTAAGCGGGCTAATCCTGACCAGGGATTCAGTTTCTCACCAAGTGAATCCACCAGTCTAAACCCCGCCAATGCCCAGCCACCACCCACTCCCAATATCAATTCTTTGCTTCTAAGGAAGGGGCTTGAACAGCGATTTCTTCGTGCTCCGATGTCACCTTCCACTCGTGCTGCCGAGAAGACGTGGGCTTCCACGTTGTCGATTTCCGTGCGTCGCTGACCTCCTCATACAGCTGGTCGACTTGCTCGAGCGTGAGACCCTTGGTCTCGTAGATCATGAGGTAGACGAACAGGATGCAGAGGAAGCAACAGGCAAACCAGACAAAGAAGATTCTGGACTGGAGGTTGGCATAGCCCTCACCGTAGTTGACGAGGTACGGCGTTGCGTAGGCAATGGCCCAGTTCAGCAGCCAGTTAGTCGCTGTGGTAATGCTCAAGGACTTGGCGCGGGTTTTGAGCGGGAAGATCTCGCCGGTAACGACCCAGGCGAGTGGCCCCCAGGTAGACGCGAAGAAGAAGATGTAGATGCAGACGAAGGCTACGGCAGCCTGCTGCCCAGCTAGGCTTTTCACGTAGATCTCCCCGTTGTCGTGCTGGCCCGTGGACACCGTGCCGCAGACCGCGACGATCAGTTGAGACACGCACATGCCGACGGCGCCCCAGAGAAGCAAAGGCCGTCGGCCCCATTTGTCGACGGCATACATGCCCGGTACGGTAGAGGCAACGTTGATAGAGGAGGTGATCATGGAGATGACAAAGCCGCTGGAGACGCCCGAGTTCTGGAAGTACTTGGTTCCGTAGTAAAAGATGAAGTTGATGCCTTCAGAGAGCGGTTAGTTTATATTTAAACAGTTAATTGCGGAAAACAAGATGGAAATCGTTCAACTTTACCTGTAAGCTGCTGAAGCGCCTGCAGTCCCATGCCCGTAAGCTGTCTCTTGAGAATCGGGGGTCTCAGACAATCCAGATAGGAGCCTTGCCCCATGGTCATCTCGAAGTCGTGGGTCGCTTGGACTTCTGCTAACTCTGCCGCAATGGCTTGATGGTTGATTGACAAGCGTCGAAGACGGCTGAGCGCCTGTGCAGCCTTGTCTGCTTTGTCCTGTTTTATCAAAAACCGTGGGGTTTCAGGGAGAAAGAGCAAGCCAAAGAAGAGGATCAGTGACCATGCCAGCTGGACCGCAATGGGGATACGGTAAGACCCCGTGTCATCTCGGTTCGAGGTGGCGTTGTTCACAGCAGCCGCGAGGAGCAAGCCGATGGTGATGGCCCATTGATACGCACTGACGATAAAGCCGCGTATCCATTTGGGGGCAGTCTCGGATTGGTACAGTGGAACTGAGCCAACACTGTCAGCACATGATTGGGGTTGTTAAATAACTGGACGCCGTATAGCATAGACTCACTCATGGCGGATATCAAGCCGACCCCAAAGCCGGCAAAGAAGCGGCCTGCCAGGAACATGGGAATGGCCGTAGCAACGGTGTGCAGCACAACGCCTAGGTTGAAGACCCACGTGGATACGATCAAGCCCAGGCGGCGGCCAACGTAGTCTGCCAAGAAAGGGGAGCTGAGGGCACCGAAGAAGGTGCCGGCGGAGAGAATGGACACGATGGCGGACTCTTGCGAGGCGTCGACGTTGGGATTCCCTTTGGCATCGATGTAACCCGTGCTAAATAGCCGTTGCCAGTATGGCATAGCCAAGATTCCACTGATGGTACCAGTATCGTATCTGTGGAAGGTGGACGGTTTTAGCTCCAATGCGCTTGGTGAGACGAATGCCAGCGAATTGTCGAACATACCCAAAGAGGACACCGCCAAATGCGACAAACATGCCCACCGCGATAGCGGGCCATGTCTTGCCTGGCACGTTCTCGGGCCTCGACAGAGAGAGGCTCTTGAGGAAGGCCATAGTGCTGGGGTCCGCCTTCACAGCACGCAGTTGGCAGTCGAACGCACAATGTTGAGATGAGAGCAAGAAGATTTGTGAAATATGCGCAGGGGACAGCTTGATGATTTGTATTAGCTACAGAAGCAGGAGCCCTGGCTCTTTTATCCCTTCTAAGCCATCATTCCTGCAGCAACGAATTTCTGTACTCAGGCCCATTGGCAATTCCCTCGGCGTCACCGAAAGGCTGCTTTGGAAACATGCCCTCTCGCACTGCGACGCCGCAATGCGACAACAACATTGAGTATACATTGTTGGTGGAAGCGACTCCTTCAGCCTTCCCTTCGGCCTTGCGCTTCCCTGCCTGTCCCCACTTTGACAGGGATGGTGGAGCTGAGCTTGCATAGAAAGGAGCTTGAATGTTTGTGCCACGCGGAGATAGGAGCTCGGGCCGACGCTTTACTTGTGGCTTCGAGACCGCCGGCATGGACACTCGGACTCTCGCCAATGGGGCGAGCCGGGACGTTGAGGAATGCACGAAGCATGAACCATTGACTATGTAGCGCAGTAACCTAACCCGCCACAAAATATTGCTAATTTATCTGTGTCGTGGTATATACTTGCTTCCTCTATGGCAAGCTTAATCTCCAAATAAATACTCCATCGCCCTTTTGCAATGCATGTCTAATGTGCATGTTGTGTTGCAGTTACTGTCTTTCGCCCTTTGTTTTGATTACAGTATATAACTTGGCTCTCCTAAGCGCGTTGCGCATGCGCCTGCTGCCCCTGAATGTCGACCCCAACTTCGCACCCATCTACCAAGGGAACAAGGGAAACATCGGGGCACATAAAATACACTGACTCTGGAGTTCACCCCAGTAATTGAGAAGCGAAGCTTCTGAATACTGTGTAGGTTACGCCCAGCCACGTGGAAGTGTTGTGGCGACCAATCCCTCCTCGAGGAACTCTGGAGGATTGAACCAGTAAATGAAGCGAAGCGCTCCTTCCTCACTTCCACTATGTAAACCAGTGTCAGTTCGTCATCGTCATTGAAGCTTCGCTTCAAATAGTCAATTCTCAAACAAATCCTTAAATGCAGTGGCCTCTTCCTATTCCAACTTGCAAAGTCTGTGTCCGTGTTAAAATCAATAGCCGTATTGCATTTCCAAACTCCTTACACCTGGACCTCTTAGGGGCCAGTTGGAACAGTTTTTCGCAGTCCCCGACGAGCAATGGTCAAAATATGTGAGAACACTAAACGAGGCTGACGAATCCGCGTCCCGTGCTCGTTCTCTACCTTAAGGTAGCTCGGTTCCCTTACCAGCACCTCCTGCATCCGTGTGTGTGCATCGGACATTCCGAGTTATGCGACATTTGTCCGTTGGCTCAATGTTTAATCCTGGACCTAGCTTGCTTGGTAGAACAGGATAGTCTGAGGCCATTATGTCTGAACCCATCCGTAGCTAAACCATGCTTCTTCTTATCCCCGCGAGTGCTGCAGATCGGTTATCCCAATGGGGAAGGAATCCGTGTAAGCACGGAGACCTATACTCAGTATGGGTTGATCCATGAACAGTTGGTGCAGATGTGGGGTGCTGTCACAGTCCTAGCGGCCGGCACTAGACTTAAGGCATGCATGTGGCAGCCTGTGGAACGGCTGAGCAGAAATGCCTCGCATGTCCAATCTGCTTTGTGGACCGTGGTCGTGTTGAGCTGACCTGAGCAGATGCAGGGCAAGGTATGGCGAAAGCGTGCGGGGAAGTTGTAGGTGAGCTTCAACGAGAGCCGAGACAGGCCGAAAGCTTCTGCACTATTCTAGCGTTGTTCTAGAGTTATGCTAGCGTTGTTCTAGCGTTGTTCTAGCGTGGTCCTAACTTCGACATCATAAGCTGCATTAGCAGGTACATATTGCGTAGTGGGTCCGTGGGCTGCATGTGAAAGCGGGGACGACCAAGTGCCTTGCGATCTACGCAGCTACCCAGATGAAAAAGGGACGCCGGCGGAGATAGCTATTTCAGACCGACCGTCGCCAGATGCCCTGGATCCCTCTGATGCGCCCACTGCTCTGCACCCGATTATCGACGCAGCAATGCCGTATGCGAGATCCGATACCAGTCTGATGGCTGAGCAAGATGTTCCAAGTCCCGTTGAGGACCCAGCGGACGCGAATCCACCGGCCTCGAACCCCGATGCTCCGCCAAAAAAGATTCGCAGTCGGGCCACCACAGCGTGCAGCACCTGCAGGGCGAGGAGGACAAGATGCGATGGGCGCCGACCTGTGTGCGGCTTCTGTAGCAACCGCGGACTCGAGTGCCACTATGAGCACAACCAGACCAGCTCCGCGTCTAGGTACGTGCCACCGCATCCTTCATCTTCTGCCCCCCTGGGTCCCTGACAACCGCTGTAGAGTGGAGGCAGAGCTCGCTGCAATCAACCGCCGGCTGGACTCCATCGCCTACTCCTTGCAGGCAGCTCACCCAACCTACGCGCATCACCAACAGCCCTCCCCGGTCGTTGACGCGGATGACCAGAGTCGCGCCGAAAGCCAAGGCTGCCAAGCCGTGACAGGGGTGGAGAGATCGCCATTCCAACTGCTCGTGACCGATTGCATCATGGAGGTTCTCGGCCTTGGTCCGGGGTTTGCGCGGGAGCTGGTGCGGCTTGAGAGAGGCAATGCGCCACATGCAGGCGTCGGCCACGCCGCGAGGCTGCGCTTTGTACAGCAACAACAAGCACTCGCGGCCCTGGATGCCTTCTCCGCCCACGTCCACAGCTGGTACCCGATACTTCTCCCAGGCTTCTCGGAGCGCTACATTGGCGTACTTTCCGGTCCTTTGGGCCCCGGTTCCGAGTCTTGCTTGGTGCTTTCAGTTGCTGCAGTGGGTGCCCTCGCTCAAGATGATTATGCGCTACGAGCAGGGACACTATCATCAGACTGCAGAACCGACAGCGAGCTCTATTTTGAAGCCGCCACTGCGTCGCTGCCGGCTGTGCTCGTCGATGACAGTATCGAGAGCATCCAATCGTTGGTCCTGTTGAGCATCTACTACTGCTGCCTTTCCAGGCCCTGTCAGGCCTACGACTATGTCATGATTGCCTCCTTCAAGGTGCAGAACCTGCTGAAATGTGTGGACGAGGGCAACGACGAGCTGTACGAACAGGCAAAGAGGTGTTACTGGGCGGTCCTGTTGATAGAGAGTGAACTCCGCGATCAGCTTGACATGGTCGACAGCGGGATATGGAACTACGACGACACGGTCAACTTGCCCGACAGCCGCGCTTCATGGCAGTTCGATCTCGGTGCTGGCTCTCCGGCGGTCACCACGACAGCCTCTCCCGGCAGCATCATCAGCAGCGCATTGCCAGACAGCAGCGTGTCTGCTTCGGACAAGGCCCAGGCATACTTCCTTGCCGAGATTGCCATGAGGCGCATGCTACATCGCTGCTACACTGCCATCCGCAGAACGCCTCGGGGCAAGATCGCCTACGCGCCAGCCATTGCGCTCGAGCTCGAGACGCAGCTCGATGAGTGGCAGAGCTTCCTACCCGACGCGGTCCATTTCCAACACCTGGCTGCCCTCGAGCCTCTCAGCAACTTTCTGCGAGTCCAGTACTACTGCTGCAAGATATCCATCTACTGGCCGGCGGTGTATCAGTGCATTCAGGACGGCAGAGCCACCACCACAGAGTTACTCGAGCACTGCGAGAGATTCTTTTACGCATATATGCAGTCGATTCCCAGCTTGTTGATGGCCGTTCAAGACTGCATCGTCAACCGCTGGACGCTCTATGCCACCATCTTCATGACGTCGATGGTGGTCATCCAGGCCGCGGGAACGCCCTGTCTGCGGAGCGGATGTGCGGTGGACTGGGCAACACTCCTGGCCTGCCTGCAATCGACAAGGTCGGTGGACATGCGCATCGTGCAGGCCAGCCCTTCGTTGACACTGTTGCACCGCACCCTCACCGATCGGCTGGCAGAGGCATACCCCGACGACTATGCACTTCCAAGCCATCCCAGACCTTGATCGTCTCAAACACGGCACTGCCCACGCTTCCCATCGCAAAGGCCGTCAGGCCTCCCAAGTCCGGGCTGGCGCCCGAGTACACCATGGTCGCGAGTGCAAAACGGTCATTTGCGAACACCTCGAGGATGTCTCCATCCGAAAAGATCCGAATACAAAGTTTCTCCAGACTATCTCTTCCCTCGGCGTCGCGCGTACTGAGTAGAGTGAAGGGGCCAGCATCCGGACACTTGTTGATTGCCGGGTCGTTGCTAGATGCATGACGATCGACGACGATGGTCTCGGTCGCGGCTGAGAATGTAACTGTGGTACAGATGGACAAATCTGCGTTATGACGCAAGTGGAAGCCAACCTCTTGACATCCCAAGTCGATTGCAACTGTGGCCTCGAGCTCCCAACTTGTAGATCGTGTGTGGCAGATGCCCCGGCTTGTGATCGAGTCTGCTCCCGGCAAAGCAACGGCTGCTGCACTGTGCTGGTAACTCGCCTCTCGTAGCTGCTCCAGTTCTGCGACCGGCCTCATGCCCAACGTCAAGACGGTTGTCGTGGTACCATCCGGCTCCAGGCTGAGCTCGAAGGGGGCAATGTCTTGCAGTGCGCTCCGCAGCGCCCCAACAACTCTTGGGATCCGGAGGAGGAAGAGTTCACGAGGAATGGCAAGAGAACCGTTCCAACCCTTTTCAACCACGGCTCTCAAGGCTAGGTCTTCCTCTGGAATCCAACCGTACACAATCGTACGATCAGACTGAGGGTCCGTAAACGAATTTGCAGCGTAGTACGGCCCATGGTCGAGGTATCCCCCATGCTCGTATTGAAACCGGACGCCGTCGCCGCTTGGAGTCGTGATAAGTCGGCCCAACATCCACAATTGAGTCCTTACCGTCCGCGAAGGGGCTGTGCTCGGGGGCTGATAAGACTTCACATGATCCTTCTCGACGTCACCTTCGGCGCCCAGAATCAGGAAGTGTCGAACCTCCGAATCTGCTCGCAGCGCCACGAGGTTGGCACACTCCCAGTTGACACCGTAGTTACCATTCCATTTTCTCGACGGCTGGAATCTCGCTGGCAGGTCAACCAAGGGACCAAGGTATCTCCACCGCTCTTCGGGATTGTCGCGGCGAATCTCGTACAGAAAGACGTTGGGGCCGCAGTCTTGGATACCGCCCGAGACGAGCCCGTAGAGCACGGGGACTTTCTCGCAGGATTTGCCTTGGGCGTAGGGGATTAGAGGCAGCTCCGTCACGTACGGGTCGCGGAAACCGGTCACTTTGACGCCGGCCGGCTCGCTGGCCAAAATGGGGTTTCGAGCGGACTTCGTCCAGGTCTTGCCGCCGTCACGAGAGAGTGCGATGGCCAAGCCAGCCGCGTCCGGGGGATATGGCGGCGTGCTCCAGTGAAAGGGCAGCTGTTTGACCGATGAGTACGCGACGCGCAAGGTGGTGTCGGACTCGTCGATGGGAGGGATCCAGCAGCCGGTAAACACCCCCTGCGCGTCGTATATCTGATCCGGGACGAGGGCTAGGGACACTTCGGCTTGCGTCCAGCGCAGCATGTCTCGGGACACGATGTGACCCCATGACATGTTGCCCCATTCACAACCGAAAGGGTTACCTGCGTAGCGGCAACGGGATCGTGTAAGTCTTCGTCCCTAGAACAACGCAACGCCTCTGGAAAAACGGGAAACTTACATTGGTAAAAGAGATGATATGTTTTGGTGTGTGGATCATAGCCAGGAGCGCATGGATCATTGATCCAGCTGTCCGCAATGAAATGGATCCTGGGTCGCTGCTGGTGCTGTTGCGTTGACGCCGGGGTCAGTGCCATGGTGAACAAAGAGAGAGATACCGATCTTGGCCCAATGGAACTGCCAGAAGTTGTAAGTGAACCGCCGCTTGACTGCCCAGGGGAAGGAAAACAAGAGTGTCCGTGCGGTAGGTACGGATTGTACATATTTTTTGGACTTGTGTAGCCATTGGGGACTTTATGTTGGCTTAGGTTTACATGTTGTTAGGTACCATTCCGCTTGGCGTCGCCACTTACCGAAACGGAGCTTGGCCCGTGTCGCGGAGTTAAGTTGTACTCCGCGAAGTTCGTGAGTGGACTGCCCGCGTGACGCCCGTTTCATGGTACTGGTACTCGCGCCGGGTCCAGAACCAAACACTCCGCTTGCTGTGGAGTTTCCCCTAGCGGCATCTGGGGCCCCACAAGCGGACTCCGAAGATCGCCCGGGATAGCTTGAAAGCAGATTTCCGGGTGCCCGCGGTGTCAGCCTTGTCCCACATTCCCTCTGCGTCCTCCAGGCTCTTTCAGCTCGATCCGGTTGTTAGACCTAGGGAGCCTCCCCATATCAGAGGTATATGTTTAGACAAGAGTGTCCCCCATAGTTTTTGCTAGGTCGGTTCCATCCGCCTTGCAGCATGGTCATCGATGACATTGAACCCATTCGCGCTCAACTTGCGTCTCATATTCCTGCAACTCGGAAACGCATCATCACTTGATTCGCGTGCTGTGAGTCTGGGCAACAAGTTAATATCATGGCCCTGATACACGGGTAAGTAGAGTGCCTCACGGTCCTCGGTTGACTCAAGTTCTCAACACAAGCAAAAGTGTTGGATACTGACTAATACAGCATCGACTACTCGGTTGTCAATCCCGACAACAAGTGGAAGATGCTGAGATCGCAGTCGCGATTCGCGCTTTGGGGCAAGTCACAACAATCAACTGGCTATGATTTGACCGGTATCTGTACTATCTAACACGCGTGGTCACAACGCATAGCACTCCTGATCTCGTCTGGCGTTGTCATGCAGGGCTTCGACATTGTAGCCGGAGGACAGCTCGCTGCCATGCCCGCATTCAAGGAAACGTTTGGAGTGCTGCAGGGCGACGGCAGCTACCTGATCCCGGCGCACTACCTCTCGGCCTGGAACTCGATCGCCCCGGCTACGGAGATCGCCATCACTTTCATTTTCGCCCCGCTGCTCGAGAAGTTCGGTCGAAAATGGGGCATCCTGACCGCATCGCTCATTTCGGCCGCCGGCGTCGTCCTCCAACAGCTTGCCACAGATTGGAGGACGCACTTGGCCGGCAGGGGCGTCAACGGTATCGCCATCGGCATGATGTTTACCATCTCTCCGCTCTGGATCGGCGAAACCTGTCGTCCGGAGCTCCGCGGCTTCTTCCTCTGCTTCTTCAACACCAGCATCGTCCTGGGCCAGTTCGCCATCGTCATTGTCTCACAGGGCAGCAGCCACATCTCGGGCAAGTGGCAGTGGTGGCTGCCCGTCGTCGCTATGTACACCTTCCCCTGTAAGTCTGGAAGTACCCTCTGCTGTCCCGGTGTTCAACATTGCTGAGACCAAGCTGCATGGTATAACTATAGTGATCCTGACCGCCGCATGGCCCTTCTTCCCCGAGTCGCCATACTGGCTCGTCCGCCGTGGCAGGCGAGAGGAGGCCAAAAAAGCCCTGCGCCGCATCTACGGCTTCGAGGAGCAGGGATTCTACGAGATTGAAGCGACACGCATAGAAGAGGAGATCCGTCTCACGAGTGATCTGCACGGCCACGTCGAAGCAAAACCTCCCAGGAGGATCCTGGGTGTCAACGTGGAGCTGGAAGCCGAATGCTTCGACCCGACCAACCGCAAGCGCACCCTGACCGCCATCTTCGCAGCGTCCGCGCAGCAGATGATTGGTGCCACGTTCGTCATTGGCTACGCGACGTACTTTTTCGAACTCATCGGCATCAGCAACTACTTTGCGGCCTCGATGGCTCTGTACGCCGTCATGCTCGCCGCTAGCATGTCGGCATTCCCCCTCACGGAGATCTACGGCCGCAGGTTCCTGATCGTCGGTCCCCAATTCATGCTCTGCTTCATGGTTCTGATCATTGGAATCTTGGGGTGCGTCCCGGACAAGACCAAGTCTAGCTGGGGCATCGTCGCCTTGCTGTATATGTGGGCCCTCATCTACCAGCTCTCCATCGGCGCTACCGGCTTTGTACTGGCGTCCGAGATCGCGACTATGAGACTTCGGGCGACGACACAGGGTCTCATTACCGTCACCAATGCCGCTTGGGGCCTGATCATGCAGTTCACGGTCCCGTACATGATCAACCCCGATGCCGGAAACTTGGGCGGCAAGGTTGGCTTTATCTTTTTGGGGACAGGGCTGATGGCGGCCGTCGGGGGCTGGTACCTGTTCCCCGAGACAAAGGGGCTTTCCTTCGAGAAGCTGGACGAACTGTATGCCATGAAGGTGCCCCCGAGGCTATTCAGGAGCGTGGCGGCCGAGGGCACCAACCGATATAACGGAGGAGAGCTTGTTGATGTAACGGTCCCAGGAGTATATTGCAACTAGCTGGTGACGACTCTACGAGTTTGCCTCGAATGGAGAAAGAAGAAGAAAGGAGAGAACTAGATGACAGGAAGAGAGGGCAGCTCTTATATGCTCCGGAACACACAGACACTGCCTGACCTCAGGATGACGTTATCATGATATCACGGCCGAGGGTTGCCGAGGCCATCATGGGCTCAGCCCATCACAGTTGACAAGGAAGCGGGTGTTAGTGTGCAACATATTTGAGCCGCAACCATTGAGAGTAGCATAGGCTGGCAACGTCAAGACCTAACGGCCTAAAGTTACTTCCTGATGATGTGTGATCCTGGGCCATCTGGTTGAGCCGGCTGCTGACCTGGTGTCTTCCTGCGTAAACGTACTTGGTAATTCATACACCTTAGCGTGGTGACTTTGAAGTTTGAAGCGAGACACAGAAACGTACGGAAAGCAACCTCGTGGGCGCCCAGCAGGGAAAGGGCGGAATAGTGCTTGCAAGGGCGAGTTCTGTGGCATCCAACCATAAGGCATTTCCACATTCCCCTGCTTCTACATCAAGGGGCCGAAAACCAGACACATCAACACAACCACTGCGTGCATGTAAGCCAAGGTCCCGGACCGGGTATCGCAACCACCATCGGCTTAGCGCGCCGGAAGTTCAGAAGCGCAACGCATCGCGAGGGCAGTGCTGCTTCAGTTGTTGGATGCAATTAGGTAAATGTCCTTCAAGGTGAATTGTACGCTATGTGATGAACTCGGACCGGAGATGGAGGAGAAAGCTCCCCGGCCTCGGATAGCTCTATACATGCTTTCCCCGATGAAATCATGTCCATCTTGGTAATAGATTGCTCATCCACGCTCCCGCCATGTTTCCTTTGCCGCTTGCGTTTTCTTGGGGAACCACCGACGAAGCTCTGTTCCGGCCCTGACACGGCGTCTTCCCCTAAAATACTAAAGGGGAGGATTTGAGCCATTCGACGTCGGCTGAGCTTGTCCAAGGCCGCCCGGAAGTCGTCGAGGATGATACTATCTGTGAAACACTTGAAGACGAAAGCGAATTTCCAGAAGGGGTTGATGACGCCTATGGGAATCACCGGGGTCACAGCCAGAATGTCCACGATGATGAAGACCATGCTGAGGCCCATGCAGAGAAGCAAGATGCCGAACCGAGGAGAGACCTGAACGATCTCTATGAAGCCAAGGTCATAGCGGAATCGAATGTTCCAGAAGAGATTGATAATGGTGAATATCCACCACGGATCGCTAATAGTGGCCGGAGCGATGTCAGCAGATTGGAGAGCGTGATGGGTTACCCTGGCTATGAAACAGCGTCACTTACCGGAAAACAGCCTCGTATGGCCTTGTTCTATTGAAAATCTGGGTTTCGCGGCCATTGAAGTAAGCGAAGTTCGCGTAAATCTCCAGAATCCAATAAGGCTGAACGGCGACGACGCTGCCAATGTAGATGAGATTTCCTCGGCGACCCAAGAAGGGCTTGCTCTTCATCCACGCAATGACATTGTGGAGAGTCCACGATGTGATGAGCGGAACGACAGTCGATGAGAGAAACCAACCCCATACTGGAGGGTCGAAAAAGATGAAGAAAGCATTAGGAACCGCCAGTAGAAGCTGTGGGGGTGTTGTTATCAGCAGGTGGACGGTCAGGCATGTGTTGATATTCGGAGGGTCACTGACCTCAATCAAGATGAGCTTGTGGAGCAGGACTCCTCGCCTCATATTCGCAAGAGTGATTCCGCACATGATGATCAGGGCACCGACCATGAAGCCCTGGGACCATGCTTCGAGAGTCAGTTTTGCCGGGTCCGACGGCTTTCCATGCTCAGCGGCTGCTGTGTTGGCCATTTCGACGGTGTGGGTAATGACAGTGTCGCTGAAGTGGAGGCAACTACATGGAATCGAAGATGTGGTTGAAGTCTGTGAGTGAGAACCAAATGAAATGGGCGACAGCTTGGCTATATACTCAGGAAATGGAATTGAATAACATAGGCAGTAGTCTAAGCTGCGACGGTGCGCGAGCCAGTCGACTAACATCCTTTTCGTTGTCCCACGCTCCCTTCCTGCACACCCTCCCGGAAGTCCCGGGCATAAGGCTCGACCCCGCTTACGCTTCCCCACATTGAACCTCCATCACAGCACCAACCCGGAAGCGGGAAGGGTGCCCGACACTACACGTGTAAAAGCTTGTAGCTTGCCGCTAATCTGGTAACCCCAGACTTTGCCCCATAACGCCATGCAGCTTGGCAGCCGACGGGATGGAGGGAATGCGGAGAAGGGTCTAAACCCGCGCTTACAGGGCTGCCGGGCGTACAGCACAGATCGAAGATCATGGCAGGACTCAGGAGCAACAATGCGCCACCATGTCGTATGACTTCCAGGCCAAGGGTGAACAAGTAGGCGAGTTCTACCGGAAGAAGCTGTCGCCTGTGCGTGTTTGAGGAGAGTGGGTGGGCAGGTTGCAAATTGCCTCGATTCGGAGTTGCTGCCCCAGACTACTTCCCGCTTGCTCATCCATTGTCACAAGAAAAGAACCCAGCAGGACAGACTACTCCCTTTAATTCTCTAATATGTGGGCCCAGGATGTGCCACGGGAAAGCCTGTCGAGTGACTGGGCTGAGTGGGAGTCCACGCTAGCGGCAAACCGCATCTTGTCGACCTTTCCAACTACCGTACTAAAGGTACCTATCTAGCACCAGCTCGAACTCAGAGGCGTGACCGAGATGGCCCCAAAGGCCAAAGTTCCCTTGTTCCCAATCACGCTGATGCCTGTCGATTCTCTGTATCGAGGCCAGACCGTTGCTGACATGACAGTGCCATCTCCAACAAAGACCTCCAGGATTCCACGGTCGAGGAAAATATCCAGCGTCAGCTTGTTGTCTTTAGGCTCGGCAAGGACCGCGTCCCATTGCCCCGCTTGGCCGTAGCCAGCATTGGAGGTGTCCAAGGTAAGTTTTCGGCTTTCGATCTCGTAGGTGAGGAGGGTGGACTCCGCCTTGGACTGGAACAGGGCCAGCGTGAAGGAAGAGGCGCTCGTGGCGCCGAGGTCGACGGAGAGCTTCACCCTTGCAGTGTTCGTGCTGGCAATGCTGCGGGCTTGTTCGCCGACTTGAAGAGGGCCCAGCTTCGTCGTGGGGCCGCTCGCCAGACTGTCGAGCTCCGCAATGGGCCGGCTGCCCAGGCCTCCGTCCTCCCTGAGGAAAAGCTCCCGGGTAACGGAATGCTGTCCGGCCCAGCCGTTGGCACGGGTTGGCCACTTGGAGGTCGGCCAGTTGCCCATCCAGTCGATGGCGAGGTTGCGTCCGGACTCGTCCTTGTACCACTGCATGGCGTAGCTTGCCGGGCCGGCGTTGACGAGTCCGCGCTTCTCGCTCGTGAACACCGAGCCGTTGTATGTGCCCGTCTCGTACAGCCCCAACCCGTTCCCACCATAAAAGAGGACCCACTTGTCGCCGACGGGGAAGAAGTTGGGGCATTCCCAGACCGCCCCAGTGCTCCCGTCCCCAGTATACATGACGCCAATGTGGGACCAAGAAAACGGGTCGGAGCCACGATACAGCTGGACCTGTCCCGAGGCACCGTTGGTCGCACCAAGAACCATCTTCCACGAGTTGTCTGTCGGGTCGTGAAACACCTTGGGGTCACGGAAGAAGACAGGGGCTCCCGCTGGCGGGCCGGGAATCGCGGGATTGCTTGGAGACAGCTTGAACTTGTCGCCGCTTTTGCTGCTGGCAACGGCGACGCTTTCCTGGACTGCGCCGGGATGGGCCCTCGTATCAACGTAGTCTGTAAAGACGAGATGAAGCTCTCCGCCGTGGACCATGGCGCTGCCGGTGAACCGGCCTGACTCGTCGCCGGGAATGCTTGTCTTCGCCGGAGAGAGGGCGACAGGAAGCTCACGCCAATGGACCGCATCCGTGCTCACAACATGGGACCAGTACATTGGGCCCCACATGGGGGAGTCGGGGTGAAACTGGCTGAAGAGATGGTGGCGTCCTCTCCACTGGGAAAGGCCGGCCGGATCGTTGATCCATCCTTGGTAAGGCGTGTAGTGATACTGCGGGCGCAGCGGGTCCGCGGCGTACAGCGAACATGCGCGTGAGTTGCGAAAAGGCGGTTGGTTGGCTTGACCGATAACTTGGAAGGTCAGGCCATCTCCGTTGCCGAGGGCACGGCGCCCGACGCGGAGGTCGTCGAAGTTGATATGACCCCAGGATTCACTTGTGCTGCTGTCATGGACCACGATGTGGACCATCTGGCCAGCCCATTTGCTGGTGTCCCAGGTGATGCGGATCAGGGCCTCGTCGTTGGTCCCCGTCTGCTTCAGGAGCAATTGGTTGTCCCTGTCCCTGACGAGACCGACGTAGAGGTTGTCCGGATCATAGCCGCCGCCAACGAGGAAGCTCAGGACAGAGCTCGCCCGAAAGGAGCTGGACTTGAGCTCGCCGACAGCCGATTCGCCGGCCTGAGTGATGCCCCAGATGAAGTACTTCTGGTCTTGGTGGAAAGGCCCGCCCCAGTACGATGTCGAGTCGGTAACGGAGCGGTTCCCAAAGGCATCTCCTTGGACGACTTGCCAGCCCTCAAGATTACCAGTCTCGAAGTTAGCATTGCGAGGCTCGTAGGCTTGGTCGCCTCTGTGGTCTTCCAGGTCGCCTTGTTTTGGAAGCGGCCCGCCAAACGCCTTGGAGGCTGCCGACAAGGCTAGGGCAAGCTTGAGGAGTCGGTGTGGCACCATGCTAATTGCGTTCTTCGGAAGAGACGAGGGTGCGTGCTGGTTAAGGTACTGTCGTCATAAACTCGGCTGTAGATCAACCTCATTGGGCTGGTTGTGGAGGGGAAATGAGCCCATTTTGTGCTTCCCCATGGAGAGCGATTCGCGTTCCCCGCGGAGGCGCTCAGTGTACTTCGCTCTAGGAAGCAATCTCGCTTCCAAGTCAACAAGGAGCCCGACGCTGCGGACCATGCAGGCCATTCGGGCATTGTGATCGGTGTTCATCGCGGTCTGCGTTCCTAAGTTTCCCAAACAGATCTCCACGACGGTTAGATCGCAAAATACACCTGTACTAGCCTGTCCCGGCTTTTTTTGCGGAAGTGGAACCGTCGCGGAGCTAGCTGCAACTCCGCGAAAGTCTGAGTCACGCGACAAGTGTGGGTAACTTACATGTGCTAAAAGACGGTGGGTCCTCAAAGATCACTCACGCTAAGTTAGGTACCAGCTTCGCTGCTTCCTTCGGGGTTTGTTGTCGCGAAGCTCCATGTTGCCTGCTACTTTGTTCTGAGATGCGAAGAGGATATCAAGTCTCCATGATTCACGAGTACCTGGCTTTCCTGAGCATAAATTCGGCAACATCTCGACGTAACAACATGCTGTATTCTTCTCTTCATCAACAGCTGTTGTCCTTCGATACCTACATTGCACACTGTCAGCCGCCTTAACCCGCTTCACGACAATGGCAACTCCAGTCCCGTCCTTCTCCCGAGGAGATCTGCTGTTCTCCGTGGCCCAGCGCACGACGGCTCGCACGGCTCGGATCTCCAGCTGGGACCAGTCCGGCCTCAACGAGGATGCCTTCGTCGTGCAGCCCGGCGAGACGGCAGTCCTCGCAGATCTCGAGGGCCCGGGCATGATTACTCACCTGTGGTTTGTGCAAACTTGCCGACGCATCCTCGGACCGGGCCTGATTCCGTACTCCAAGTCAGGCGTCGCCATGATGGAGATCCACAACGCCTTGGGTCTCAGCTACGAAGACAGCGATCCCGACTACTACCGCAAGGTACTCATCCGCATGTACTGGGACGACTCCGAGACCCCCAACGTCATCGCTCCGATTGGGGACTTCTTCTGTCTCGGCCACTCCATGGCTGCCAACTTCCAGTCCCTTCCCTTCACCGTCTCGGTGAAGCCGTCCGAGGAAAAGAAGTTTGGCGGCTCGGCTGCCTTCAACTGCTACCTGATCATGCCGTTCAATACGCGTGCCAGGATCGAGATTGAGAACCAGGGCGAACACGCCTACTTCCAATACTTCTACATCGACTATGAGCTGCGCCCCACCCCCTTCGATCCGAACGAAATCCTCTACTTCCACGCCCACTGGCGGCGCGAGAACCCCACCAACGGCTGGGCACCGAATGCTATGCAGACCAACAGTCTCGAGACCCAGGTCCCCAACCTCACCGGTGACGGCTACACCATCCTCGAGACGACTGGTTCGGGCAACTTCATCGGCTGCAACCACTCGGTGCTGCATCACCAGGGCACTTGGTGGGGCGAGGGCGACGACATAATTCTCATCGACGACGACACCTGGCCGCCCAGCATGCACGGCACCGGGGGCGAGGACTACTTCAGCCAAGGCTGGGGCATGCAGAAGAACGCCTACCCCTTCTGCGGCACCATCATCCACGAGGAGGACGTCCCCGGCTACCAGGTCTCGTACCGGTGGCACTTGGCCGACCCGGTGCGCTTCAACAAGAAGATCACAGTCAAGCTGGAGCACGGACATGCCAACCATCTCCGCGACGACTGGTCCACGATGGCCTACTGGTACCAGACGCTGCCGGGACCCAAGCTGGATATCCTCTTTGTCGACCAGCGACTTCCCAACAGGCCCACCGTTGCGCCGCCTCCTGACCCGGCCCCTGATAGGCCCTTGACTGACTTGCAGCAGCAGCTCATCACGCAGAGAGAGGAGAGGCTCGATGCCTTTGTGCGGGACCGCAACCAGTGGCTGGAGAGAAGGGCCGAGGCGTCCCGGAAGAGAGCGCAGAAAAATATCGAGATTGCGAAGGACATTAGGAAACGCTTCGTACATAGCCTGCAGGCTTAGATAGGTGGGCAGTAGGGAGGTGCCAATCATTGGAGATGTTGTGGTCGCTTCAAGTTCAATGCATAAGGTAGCGGACAAGAATAGAGAACAAGTTTTCTCGATGTTGGGATTCTCTTGGGTATCTTCCTTTATTGAGCCGCGACGCTGTACTTTTGCCCTTGCTGTTCACGGTTTTTAGATGTGTAAACATCTCCGTTCCCTAAGGTACTTGGTAGTTTACGGCATCCTCGCCTTCAACCTGCAGCCCAAGCAGCCTACACTCAAGTGGCCGACCCGCACATTCGCCGGCATAGCCAAATCCGCGATATCCAGATCCCTCTACACCAGCTCCCGCAGCGTATTGGACGCCACATGATCGTTCGGCCGCTTTGTTATCCCCACCAACCATAACTCCCTACTCGTGTCGCTCAGCCTAGACCACTCCTCCTGTAACTCCTCCTGCCCTCCGCCATACCTGCATCACTCCCACTACCCTCCCAAAACTTATCCCTACGCTCTCCTATCTCAACGCCCTCTACACCGCCCCCCAAAGCACCGCCCGGGTCGTTTCAATACCCGATGCCTAAGACTCCGGCTTCTGCGCCGATAGATGTTGCTTGCGTGCCGTACTGTGAAGGCGTCGCGACTTCAGACCCTTCGGTTGGTCGGACATCTTCACGCTGTCGGCACTTCTGATGGCGCTTGAATGGAATTTGGTTTATGATAGGGTAGAAGAACGCGTCGGTAGGCAGTTGTTGCCAGGAAAATTCCGAGAGACGGGAGTTTGTGGCTACCTGAGCAGACGGCTCGCTGATTGGGGTGGGACGGCCGTTCCTTCCTTCCTATCGCATACTGGAAGCCGCACAAACCCCTAAACGGCGCCGCTTTGATCAAATGCGACATCACCATGACGCGATGCGATGCACTTCGCGATGTCTTTGACCCGATACTATTTGTATGGCCACCTCTTACCACAACCACCGACCGCGCCATCAACCCCAACAGCACCACTGCAACTGGCAGGTGGTGATCGCATCAATTTGAGCTTTTTTTTTTTTTTTAATTGCCAATACGACAGCGAATATGGCCAATCCCGGCGAAAACACCACGCAAACCGGCCCACCGCGGCCTTCACGATTCACAACGGGTGCGGTTAGAAGCGGGCACCCTCAAGGTAATTCGCAGCCGCATACTCGGGCTATGTCCTATACACGCAGACAGTTCGCACCAATACTCGTGGGGTCACAGCTAGACTAGTAGTACTCCGGCCTCCCGGGGCAAAGGCGCGGGTAGCGGGCGTTCCAGCAAACACATGTCTCAATCTGTCGAGCAACAGCAGAGAACCCGGCTTGGACGTGGCGCACGGGTGGATGATGGTTCCTAGCTTAAGCGTCGCACCTCTCCAACAGTCGCAGGCACAGTAGAGAGAGGTCTTAAAGATTGTGACGGGCACCACCCAAGGTCTGGTCAGCTCGCACATACAAGATCAATATTCCTACGAAGAGAGCAAGAGCTAGATGACAGGAACGGGCGTGCAACCAGACCTATATGCTGGAGCACATGCCTATGATACAATCATGAGAACAGTGACTACAGGCATGTAACATGACCATGAGAACAGGAACGGGGATCCCGTGACAAAGATGCTACTGAACTGTATCGATATCTGAAAACAATGTAGCAAGCTGACCGATCAAGATACTGCCCAGCTTACCGCGCAGACTGCAGCCAGTGGTATCCTGCTTCAAATCGGCTGGCGGGCTCGGAGGAGAGCGGGCCGAGAAACTGGAATGACTGATGTGGTCCTCCTGATGGATGATCGAGCCGACTCCGGTGTGTGTCACCCTCCGCCGGGTTTCTGCTTGTATCATCCGATTGATGCCAGTGGCAGTATATAATGTGTGTTTGAGAATAACGTTAGCGTTAGATGATGTCTTACTAAGAAGAGTAAGGAAAAGAAAAGACTCAATTCCTCGTTTTGTGTCTTCATGTCCAGCAGTTGTGCGTTGTTCACATGGGTTAAGGTATGGTGAGTTGTGTCATCGTCCGCGAACAGTGGCTTAGGTAGCTTACAGTGGCTTACAGTAGCGCCAATTGCCACAGTTTGATCGACCAGCCGGATTGGGCATGACCGAAAGAAATACCAGCCAATCAGAGAGCGGAGCGCTTGGACGGTAGTTGTGCTGGGAATGCTATTTGCGGTGGGAATGCTAGTTGACACATCAACGGCAGATTGTATCCCTGGAATGCGAAGTATCATAACCGCCTGGTGCATTTTCCCATTACGGTACTTAGTCCTCTCCCATGCCCATCAACAGCATGGTCAATAAATCACTTTTACCACCTTAAAAGATTCAATCCACTGCTTTGACTGGGAATAGCTTCTTCCAGCGCATATCTCAGCGGTCGTCGCCCTGCAGGTTCCAACAGATAGAAGTCCACCGAATCTCGAGTCTTGGCCAAGAGTTTGCCGAGGCCTTTTGTTGGAAAGTCGTGGCACTGGAACTTCTGACGCTCAGTTGCAAGTGCCCTGCTGTTGGATGCATGGCTGCCCAACTGAGCGTCAGACAACGTGAGGGGTAACCAGGGCGCTGGGCAACGAGGTCAGGGCGATTCCCCCTTCGCTGGAGACGTGAGAGAAGAACAACCTTCAATAAAGAACATCTGGGATGCTCCGAGCATCCCAAATATGACTGTTGTAAGCTCCCATCATCTGTGTGATCACCGTGGAATCGTGGCTGTTGGTCTTCCAACATAACCATAGTACCACATGTTACGGTCTTATTCATGTACTGTACTAAGTGAGCGGGGCGACTGTCCTTGAGGTGTAAGAATCATAATAATAATAATGGAATGGAAGTAAAGGTCCCCGTCATGCGATCGATGCAGAAGAAGAACCCTAAGTACAAATAGGGCAGCTATCGCCAATGTTTCTACCGGAACGTCCAAAGTACAATACCGGGCTGAAGTTTGGGGTATTGAACGGACTAGTCTGTATGTGCCGCTCAGTGTGTTGTCTGTTTCAGTTCGGCCAGTCTGAGGCAGGTTGATTTTGCCTATGAACGCTCCTATTCGGTCAAAAGGGTCCAATCCTTGACAAATATCGCAGTCATAGATGAGGCAGGTAAGACGTGTGCACGTAGGACCAAAGAGAGGCAGCATCAACGTCTAAATAGCCCCCAGACTTCACCTCCCCTCCCTTCTGCTTCCATGGGCTTCCTGACGGACTCAGACGCCGGTTTGAGCCAGACTCGAGATTTCAATTTGAAAGCGAAGAAACACACGAACACAGTTTAGCACTTGTACCATTCTCAAGTCAGGGGTAGGACCTGTCCTCTATTAATCGTCATAGCTCAGGTCACAGCACAACCCCCTACGCTCTCGTCTTTCAGGAGCTAGATCAAGCATCACAAGTGGGAAACGGTCAACCGTCAAACTTGATATACAGAACACGTTCTCAACCGTCAACCGCTACGGACGTCGCAATTTATATGTGAATGATTGGCTCGTGATACCGCTGTCCATAAACCTCTGCGCACACTATATATCCATCCTAATTCTTCAAGACCATGAAGAAACAGCTACACCCATTCCTTGCACAGCACAAAGGTGCTTAAAAGGAGAGATTGCCTCCGTTGACCCCGTAAGCGCTGGCAATGGACTGCGAGCTGCTGCCCTCAGCAATCATGACATAGATAGGCGCGAGCTCGGCGGGCTGTGCAATCCTTCCCAAAGGCAGCTGTGCCGCAATCGTATCGGCATTCTCAGTCGTCAGGCCATGAGATGTAAGAAAGTTTGTGGCGGTGAGGCCCGGCGCGATGGCATTGACTCGGATACCTTGAGGGCCCAACTGCAAGCCCAGGGTCTGTGCCATGGAGATGAGAGCAGCCTTTGTCGCGGCATAGTCGACAGCAGCGCCGTGAGGCCGACGCGCCATGCCCGAGGACGTGAAGATGATGGATGAACCGGGCGGGAGGAGTGGTGCCGCTGCGCGAACCAGGTAGAAGGACGCGAAGACGTTGACCTCAAACGTCTGCAGGATCTGTTCGGTCGTGATGGTTGAAATGTTGAGATTCTGCACAAAGTATCCGGCGTTGCTGACGAGGATGTCTAGTCCGCCCATGGCCTCGCGGGCCTGGTGAACGAGGCTCGTGCAGAAGGTTTCATTACGGAGATCGCCTGGCATGGCGAAATAGCGGACACCCTCGGCCTCGACCAAGGTCTTCACCTCATCGGCGTCGGGCTGCTCTTCCGGCAGGTAGTTAATGGTGACGTCGGCGCCTTCGCGAGCGTAGGCAATGGCGACCGCTCGGCCGATGCCCGAGTCTCCTCCTGTGATCAGTGCCTTGCGGCCTTTGAGACGACCAGTGCCGACGTAGGATTTCTCGCCACTGTCGATGGGTGGATTCCAGTTTTGGTGGAGGCCTGGGAAACCTTGATCAGGGAGTATAACTCGATGCTGATATCTGGTTCGCGGGTCGACCAGCGACGGCACGTTGGAACTAGAGTGGTCTGTACGTGTTAGCGCGCTGCGCGTATCCGATCAGCAAGAGACTTACTGCTTGAAGCTGAGACAAGTCCGACGAAAAGATGAGCCGAAACAAAGCTGAACGCGAAGAGCTTCATTATGTGAGGTAAGGTAGGTATGCTGAGGTAGACTGAGCGTGTACATGCGAGGAGGAACTGCTGAGTGTGGTAGTATGAGATCTGGAGAAGCCAGGCAAAACCGAATATTTGTATGCTTTATTGACAATCGACGTCGCCGCCGTAGTGAGGTGTAGCGACACCGCCGAGACGCCCAAAACAAGAATGAACATCATGAGCCACTCAGCACACGTCACGGTCAGCACCATCATCATTCCAACCCAGCATTGGAAGCCTGCAACCTAACCGTAATACTACCAGTCAACTGTAAACCCGGATTTGTCGGATAAGGTGCCGACGTTCGCCGTGGCTGAGTCGCCTTGGGTGTTTCTTAGAAAACACTTTACAGCCGGACTTAAGACTTACAACCGGTCAGACTGGACCGAGATTACAGTTGCCCCGTAAGCCCTTGTTCTATATCTAATTTGTTTCGAGGTACACAGCCGGCGATGGAGGACGTGTAGATAATTGAGGCATGCACGGGATATGATCAGATGGTCGGTTTTCGGCCATTCAGCGACAGCATCGCGTCCAGCGCCGCCACGAAGAATCCATCATGGCTTCCTGAGCTGCAAGCCAAGACTGCGTGCTTTGCCGCTGCGTCGCACGTCTCAACCCCTCTTCCTTAACTTGACCTTGGGTCCTTGGCACACTTGGCGCTGGCTCGATACATGTTTACACGGTCATGCTTCCTGCAGGCTCCCAGCGCCTGCAATCGACGTGACCCAGAACGAAGAACCGCCAGAACTACCTACGCGCGTCATAGCGGGCTGTGCCGACCCTGTCCGCCATCCCGTCCTCGTCGAGAGCCAGAGCCGCAAGGACCGATACATCGCTCTGAGCCACTGTTGGGGCTCAACGGCCTCCTCCATCACGAAAGCAGAGCGCGGCGACAGCATGCAGCGCCGTCTGCAGGAGGTACCCTTTAACGAGCTGAGCACAAACTTCCGGCACGCCGTCGAGGTCACACACGCGCTGGGCTACCAGTACCTCTGGATCAATTCGCTCCACATCGTCCAAGACGACTGGGCCGTCGAATCGGCCAAGATGGCCGAGGTATACACCCCGGCGTCGCTCACCGTTGCCGCGGCCAACAGTGCGTGGGCAGACGAGGGCTTCCTGCAGCCAAGACAGAGGCGCCGGACCGTGATGTTTCCATTCCAGGGCGGCCCGGGAGTCATTTCCAGCTACTTCACGGTCGCCGAGCCCTCGCCAGAAGATGCGAAGGAACTGCGCGACAGCTTCCATATTGAAGTCGACGGCGGCCCGTTGGCTGCGCGAGGCTGGACTCCGCAAGAGCGGCTGCTCGCACGGCGCATCGCCTTCTTCGGCAAAGACCAACTGCACAGGGAGTGCCGCTCAACCCGCTGGAGCGAGAGCACCCGCATACAGCCGATCCAATAGCTGGAATCCAGCGCGCCCGGACTGGTCGCTCTCTGAGGCCTCCCCATGCTTGGTTCCAACCCTGCGCAACAGGACCGTAGTACGAGACTGCTCAACGACTGGTACAGGGTCCTCGGCGAGTTCACCAGGCGCGGACTGACCAACAAAGAAGACAAGCTGCCCGCGCTATTGGGCATCGCCAAAGTGATCAGCCAGGGCTTTGGTCCCGGCTTCGACACCACGTACCACGCCGGCCTATGGGCGCGTGACCTCCCACGTGCTCTGCCGTGGAAAACGGTTGCCCCCGACGCCGGGACCGGCGCTGCGCTACCGGGTCCGTCGTGGTCCTGGATATCCCGGGACGCGGCTATCTACCTGGCGAGCGAGGAGTCCACTGCCGTGACCGACATCCTCGGTGCCGCGTGGGACATCGTCCTGGCCGGGAGCGATGCCCACGGCAGGGTGAAGCAAGGCACGCTCACGCTCACGGGCTCCCTGAAACAGGTGTCCTCCATCCAGCGCATCGAGCGAGAGCCTCGAGTCGTCGGTCCGTTCTCGTGCCCGCTCTCAGACGCGCTCCTCTTCGACGGCCAGGGACAGCAGATCGCCTCGGCCGTGCTGGACGAGCCGGCTGACGCGAGCGTGTATGCGCAGCCCTTGTATGCGGTCCCCGTCAGGCACGCCATGGCCAAAACCAAGCCTGCGCTCTCGATCCTCTCCATCGAGGCCCTGCTGTTGCAGGACAAGGACGATGGCACGTCTAGGCGGGTCGGGGTCGCCAGCATGGGCGGCAGCAATGCCAAAACAGCAAAGGCCTCTGCAATGGAGACTTTCGCCTCTCCAACATCTCGTGCCAGACCGACAACACCATCGATGACCTAACTGAGGAGAATATGCTCCAGCTGCTGGGACGCGACCCGCAGCTCCCCCCTGTCAACAAGTGCATCTCGAGAACGGCGAGACGACGAGAACGGATCTGTCTTATACCTTCCCGTATGCTACTATCATGATGTTCCTCACGACGACGACGACGACGACGCCCAAGACGACACTGACCCCAGCCCCATTCACAACAGCCAGTCTTGCAATGCCACGATGACCATGGTGCCAACACCTTCGACGAAACCCTCCCACCAATCGTCCCAATATACCTCGTCGTCCCCGTCCGCCTCAACCTGTCCCAACATCCCAACCACAAGCGTTTCATCCTCCTCACGATAGCGATTGTCGATTTGGCGTCTGCTACTTCCGGGGGGCACACCGTCCACCGGCACCACAGCCGTCACCACAGCAACCGCCACCTTGAAAAGAACGACAGGCATTCCCCCCGCGTACGGCGCCCCCGACGACTACCTCTGTGTCGGCCCCTTGGGATACGCCACCGACATCTGGTCGCTCGCTGCGACCCTGTTCGCCGTCGTGCACGGGTCTGGGAAGATTCGTTCAGCAGCACTGCGTAGCATGGACATCTTGGTGGCGTACATGACGGTTCTCAGCTTATTGGAAGAAAGGAAACGCCTGGCCTATTGCATTTGAGGACTTTGATGAGTCGAGTGGATCAAGAGCAACTTGTAATTATATCGGTATCTAATTCTAAACTCGGCTTATGCATAGCTCCAATCCGGTTCAGGTTGTGCTTTATTTATGCGTCTGATCACTTATACGTCTGAATGCTTATATATCTGAACGTGGTGATCTTGGTGCTGTATGGATGGATGGATGGAATTTATTTCGCCCGGAGGCACGAAGCCTAAAGGGCCTTGGCACGCTAACTACAT